ACATTATTCAGTGTTTTAAATCAAAAATAAACAGGTGGTCTTACAAGGCTTATTTATTAGAAAACTACACAGTCTTTTATGCCCTGTTTCCTGTGTTACATCCAATGACAGACCTTAGTTAATATATTAACAAAAGGTCTCACTCATCATTCATTCTGACCTTTGGTATTTCTCACCATATTGTGTAATCTCCAGTTAGAGTAGTGCCTCATAGAAATATATACACTATCGCTCTAAATATATCATTTGGTTCACTAGCTGATAGACAGCAGCTCTTATCCTGCTAGGAACTGGCTAGCACAATAATTTCAGATGTTATCTTTTTGAAAGCAAAGCGCTTGATGGATTTGTGCTAAATATCTGTCATTTAAAATCACAAGAGTAGTACTAGATACTCTTGAAAAGCAGTAATAACTGTAATTGCTGAATGACAACCAGGGACACTGAAGTGCTTGTGCCTTGCATTTTTTCATAATGTAGGAGTAGGAATTGCTTGAGGCATCTGGTGATTTAAAGCGAAAAGCACTGTTAAATGCTAACTCTTAAGTATTGTGTTACTATGAGGCATTGCAAGTTTCTCAAGTTTCTCCTGACACTGAAAAAAAAATGCAAATCAGGCATGTAAACTGTTTCTTCCACAGATTTCTATTGTTGACTTTAAAATCAGCTGCTTTTACTTTTTGAGCTTCATCTTTTCAGCTCAGAGATGTGAACAAAATATTTATATCCCACCTTTCTTCCAGATTGGTGGTAATCAGTTTTAATTGCTAATACAGCACAGCCCAAATGCTCTCAGTTACTATCGTAGATCAGAAATATACAGAGATATCTCCATTACGGAAAAGTGATTAAAATTTGAACAGGATAATGGTCTGTGGTTTTTAAAGAAGATGGAAGATGCCCATTTACAGGTTGCATGTGGATGTGAACTCAATCACTTTCTTTGCTACAATTCCAGCTTTGTCCCTTTACAGTGTTATGAAAATTAAAATGCTGATGATTCAGACTAAGGGGAATAAATATTAACTTCAGCACCTGGTACAGAAGGAGTTGTTTTGAATTTCTTTTCTTTTTTGGCACATTCTTGGAGATTTACTACGTAAAGGTAAATAAGATTTGATAGGTATGTAAGCAATGTTGAGATTTGAAGGGGTGGTGTAGGAGGAGGAATTGAAAGATAGAACTCTTTTTTTAAAAAAAAAGTGCAACAGAACTAGGAAATTTGTGTTTAAATTCCATTTGGCCATGGAATTAACTGAGCTACTTTTAACCAGTCACATATACTCAACCCTAACCTACCTATGGAGTTTGTTTGGTTTTTTGGTTTTTTGTTTTTGGGTTGTTTTGGTTTTTTTTGGGTTTTTTTTTTTTTTTTGAGATTACAGCGGCACAGCACACAAGAAAAGATAGAATGCAGCCAATTAAAAATACGTAAAAATGTTTTTGCACCGGAATAAAAATAAATGTAGCACTAATGTTCTGGTTTGACTGCTATTCCATGGAGAAGATGCAAAGTTTAATAGTAAAATGAGACTTCAACTACCCTAGTGGTTCTCAACCTGTGGACCCCCAGATGTTTTGGCCTTCAACTCCCAGAAATCTTAACAGCTGGTAAACTCACTGGGATGTCTGGGAGTTGCAGGCCAAAACACCTGGGGACCCACAGTTTGAAAACCACTGAACTACCCTAACACCTTCTGAAAGACCAGTTTTTAACAACATGGGATCCCCCAAAAATTCCTTGTGTGCTTTACAGATGTCTTCCAGTTGAAGAAGATAGATGAGTAAGGAAATCCACTATCTTCATCACTAGAAGAATAATGAGATTGTGGGGGGAAATATGGTATTGAAATCCAAATGCAGAGATAGATAGATAGATAGATAGATAGATAGATAGATAGATAGAACAAGTGCACAGATATGGGGTAGGAGATATAGGACTTGGCACATACAAAGGGGGTATATAAACATTCTTCAACTGCCCCTTACTATAGGTTCAGAATTTTGGTAGAATAATAGGTATTGAACGTAGTAGTAATACAGAATGATCTTCCAAACAAAGGGAATTTACACTTCTTAATTCCTAACTATTCACTATGGCTAACTATTCACTATTGTTCAGTTCCAGCATTTCCATCTAAAAATACCATATTTTCAGACACCAAGTGGCTCAGAAACCAGGTGATTGGAATTTAAGAGTTGTCAAGGAGTTATTTCAGTTCAGATGAGTCACACAGTATCCATCAGGATGAAGGTAGAAGTTATAGAGTGGTCATACGCTGGTCCAGAAGTTGTTCATTACGCCAGTAGTCCAGCAAAAAAGGCAGGAAGAAGTAGAACAGAGTAATAAATGCTAACCAGTCCAAGGTCAGTAAAACATGAACACTAGAAAGTATTGCTAGGGGGTGGATAGAATATTTAGGGGTTGTCTCCAAACACAGGAGACTAATTCAGTCAGTGTCTTCTCCTTAATAAATACCGGGAGCAATGCAATCCCATCTTGTCCCTTTCTTGCACTGTGAATAATAGTAATGGGGCTTCAGCATCTGCAGCCTTTTGCTGGGGAGTAGGTGCCCCCTCTGCCTCAACCCCCAGCTCCTTGGCCGCAGTGAGTCCATTGTTATCAGGGATGCAGATCCTGACTATAAGCCTCATTCTCTCCCTCTGTTGCCTCAATAAATACCGGGAGCAATGCAATCCATCCTTATCATTTTCTTGCATGGTGAATAGAGACAGTGATAACAAAGAAAATATCTCAGCCAAAGGTTCTAGAATGCTACTTGAAGCAGATAAGTAAACCAGTAGTTTGACAGCATCCTTGAGCTAACAAACAATTGCATGTCACAAGCATATTTAATCTGCTGCTTGTATTCCAGCCAGGGTTGTTTTAATATACTCCATAATCTATTTTTTAAAATGGTTGCTTTTGTTAGGCTTCTCTTCTCTGAAAGCTGTATTGGCAGTAAAGAGGTAGAAAAGAATTTCATCAATAGTGTAGAAGATTATGTAAAGATTAACTCCGGATTGTTTTTAATTAATTGATTTTCCAAGCATGCCTTGGTAATGCTCACAGTTTTCAGTGAATCATAACGACCACATTCATTGCTCAGCATCTTTCTGTCCTTTCATGCTCTTTGTACTGTGAGAACTGGAATGTTTCTTTTCTTAATACTGAAGTTCTTTGAACCAGAGATGAATTTCCTTACTATTAAGATATTATTTTTGGATAGTTTGTTTTTCTTTTATTGAGATGAGGTGAGTAACTATGGAAGACAAACACAACTCATTAAGAAACCTCAGAAGACTGCACCCCCCCCCCCAAATGATACTTGCTTTTGCAAAAAAAAAAGAGAGAGAGAGAGCTTTGTCCTCAAATGTCCTTTAGGGAAATTAGTTTTTGTTGTTTATCTAAACAATGGAGTGAGAAGTGGTGCTGCTGCTGAGTGTTACAAGTGAGACCTATAATAACATGTTACAAATAGAGTGCTCTTGTATGTTATTCCATTCAATCAGTCCTGAACACTCTACTTCAAGTAAGTAGTTTTATGTGGAAACCCATCAATCAGTATTTCATGGGCATTTAGAACTCACAGTCATAATCTATGTTTATGAAATATTTCCCTCCTACAGAGATACTTTTCCTTTCATTTTTGGGCTGATTAAAATGTTAGCATTTTTCCCAGTCCCATTGATACATGGTGGAATTTGGGATCAACATTCACATGTAAATATAATAGATGGAAAAATTGTGTTTGAATTTAATATATTTTCCTTATATACTATATCCCTGTCTATCTGTGTATTTAAAATTTAGTACAATATTTTCCTTCTTACTTAACACAGCGAAAAATGTTTAGCCCTTCCAAATGTGGGACTGCAGTTCCAGTCATATTTCACCATTGGTCATTTTGTTTAGAGCTGGTAAGGAATTGCGGTCTAGTAACATTTTGAAGAGAGCCTCTGTGGCAGCTTATTTAAGTCAGAATTAGTAGTCCAAGCAACAAAGAATCAGTGCCCAGTCAGTCATGGAAACCCATTGGATGACCTTGTCACACACTTAGAGAAAGACAATGGCAAACCTCCTCTATATAACAAGTTGGTGTCAACTTCAAGGCACAACAACAGCTATAGGACCATATATTGCTCACCTCTGACACAAGATTATAATAGTTTTCTCTGTGTTTCATTGCTAATAGGTTTTATTATGAATGCCCTATGAAATTCATTCAACCACCGTAATCACAGACACACTATTTGGGAATAAAACTGCGGTGTTTTTTCATTGTCCCATGTGAGTACACATGCACCTCCAAGTCACCTGTGAACTTGTGGTCATCCTGTGAATTTCATAGGGATTTCCAAGGCGAGCAATAGAAGTTGTTTTACCTGTTTCTTCCTCTAAAGCAAGCCTGTACAAACTGGTCCTCAAGGTGATCTGGACTTCAACTCCCAGAATTCCTGTCCATTGAACAAGCTGTCTAGGGCTTCTGGGAGTTGGTGGCAAACACCTGGAGGGCTACAGGTTGTGCAGGCCTGCTCTAAAGTATAGCCTACACCATTTGGTATTCATTTCAACTCCCATCCAAGTACTAACCAGGACTGACCCTGCTAAGGATTCACAAAGCTGTTTTTATAATACAGTAAAATGGTGTTAAACTAAGTTACAATTATCTTCATTTGCATTTAATTACTGTATGTCAGTATTAATATCAAGTCTATACAGAGTTTGTTGTACAATATCAGATATAGTATTAATTAGGCCTATTTTTCATGCTAACTCTCAAGCAACCAGAAATTACATTTATCCAGCATCTGCCAATCCCCATGGTTGCCAGTTAACTGTGAGTCTACTGTACCAGGCGTTTTTGAATGTCTGGGTGGGAAAATGGTAACAGATAGATTTGGCTGAAACTTGACACATTCTCCTTTGTTTTCAACCTATCCACAACATATATATATGTCTAATTTTAAAAGTGAAAATCATTTTATTTGACATACAGGAGATTACAAATCCAAGAAGGAAAGGATTTCTAAGTGAACATGCTGCTCCTTTCTCTGCTTTCTTGACTGATGGTTTTGGCCGCCAGCATAATTACTTAAGGATCTCACTGACTGAGAAATGCAACCTCAGATGTAAGTCTTTCTGTTCTGGTTAGGAGCATGTTTATAATATTCATAGCCATGTTCTGATAACCATCTCTTATTGGAAACTTCTTTAACAATCTGTACTTGTTTGAAGGTCCATTTAGTTCATTATTATAGCTGTGAGGTTGCCACCCAAAGCCTGATTTAGGATCTCTCATTCACAGTTATAAATTTATACACATGTGTCAACCACATTGAGTAACTGGGCAATAAGCTAAATTGCCTTTCTAAAGTTGTAAGTTCAAGTGATCGTTAGGTGATGAAGGTGATGTCTGTGGATGGCATCCTAACAAGCAGAGAGCCTAGTCCCCATAATTTTATACTTTAAGAAGCCATATGTCTGTTAGATATGGTGGAATGTGACACAGAAGTGGCTCCATTAAGTCCCCATTGGGGAGATAGGGTGGGATAGAAAGACAGTTTTATTATTTTATTATTATATTCCTACTCCAGGAGAAAGGCAACACACAAATGCAACAAAGAAATAACAGCCAGACCTCTATTGGAGATAATAAATGAGGGGTTGTAATCATGTGGCCCCCAAATTACTGCTGGAACTCAACTCTTCCAGCATTCCTCGGCTTTGATTTTGATGGCTAGGGTTACTTGGAGTTGCAGTCCAGGCAACTCCCAAGTAATAGGTTTGCATTAAAAAATGGTACCTGCATTGTCTCAGATGAGGATAGCATCTAGCATGTGGCATGCTTCCTACCCCTGCTAAAAATGATCAAGCCATTGGGTAAAGGAAGATGCTGCATTCAGAGGGAAAGCAAGTTTGCATCTAGAGCCCAAATCTCTTGGGAAAAATGTTTCTCCTTCTTAGTGCATGCATATTTATATTCTAGGAGCAGCTCCTTTTCAAGGGAAAATAAGTTTGCATTAAAAAAAATACATGAGAACACATAGTCTTGTGTATAATGTTATTGCACATGCAGCCAAACCAAGTGTTTTTTAATGTAGTAAATAAATTATGCATTTGGATTTATAGCCATCCTTCCAAATTTACAGGTTTCAGTTTTGCAGATTTGATTTGAAACTCTTCTCTTCCAACACAACTCTGTTGTCAAATTCCACTAGAAGTTGACCATAGATTTGTGCTAGGGTACATAAAGATTCCTAGACTGAACACTTGTAAGGTCCCCCAACTTCCAGCAAAAGATGACTACATAATTGTCCAGGAGCAGCCTAGAGACTCTAGAGAGGTGTTCTCTCATGTTTAAAAAGTGTTATTTTGTTTGCCATTTTTTCTTCTTTTTTTTTCATCTCCTTTGTGGGGGGTACTGTAATACTAATCCCAGCAAATGTTGAGGCCTGATTGTATTTGTTAAATGTTTGGAAGAAAGATGTAAATAACTCATATGGGTTATATTTCCCTTTGTGGTATGTTTTAGGTCAGTACTGCATGCCAGAGGAGGGAGTTCAGTTAACTCCCAAATCAGAACTGTTGAGCACCCAGGAAATCATCACTCTTGCCAGACTCTTTGTGAAAGAGGGTGTGGACAAGATCCGATTGACTGGAGGAGAGCCTCTTATCCGGCCAGATGTAGTGGACATCATAGGTATGCTATGTGTGCAATGATTGTGAAATCTTCTGCTGAAAATCTCAAGGGAATGTGGCATCATGTCACATGTCATCATGTCTATGCTAGTAGCATAGAGTTCTTTGAGAATTCCAATACACTCACAGAACTATCTTGTTGGACGTAAAGTAAAATGACTTAGATGAATTCCAAAGAAAACTTAAACACAATATTGCAAGCCAATCGATTCCATTGCCCACTATCATTTTCAGTCTGTTGCTCAATAGCCAGTCAGTATTCCATGTTTACTCAGCTCAGTTCCCTTTTTGGAACTCAGCTTTTTTTAGAATGTGGATAGTGGATCCTGGTGCTGTCTCATGAGGATCTGGTTAGATTTGGGGGGGGGGGGGGGGGGTTGATGGACTTTATGGACTTCTGCTAGTTTTATCCTTCTCATATGCATGTGTAGACATTTTCAGGCACATAAAATGGACTCAGAACTGAGCTCACCATAAATATATATGAGGTCAGTTGCAATTAATCTGAACCGTGCACATTTATTCAGCTTTATTTTAATTTTATGCATTTCTAGGGGCTTAGTTACTCATTTTTCATCACTCTAAAAGCTAAGAAGGAAGTTAATTTCCTTATTAAATGATTTTTTTTCATCCATTATATATACTTTAGATCAGGTTCCTTAATTGTTTTCCACTCTTGACCCTTTTCCAACTTATACATTTTAAATGACCCTATGTGTTGTTTATTCGTTCAGTCACTTCTGACTCCTCGTGACCTCATGGACCAGCGCACTCCATAGCTCACACCAGATAAACCCATGTGTACAGGTTTAGAAAATACCCATGTGTATAGGTATAGAAAATAGATTTCAATAAACCAAACAGAATTTTCAAGGCTTTGCTAAACAGACTGCTTTTCCTTTTGTGAAGTACAGCTGAAGCATTTCTTGCAGAAACTACTATAAACCCTGCATGTTTTTCTTAACAGATTTGTGTAAATGGATGGCATTCCTAAACTTTAAATGTTGCCAAAATTTTTGCAACTTCAGCATTGAGCTAAAAGGACCCCATTTAGGGTTGTGACCCACTGTTAAAGAAGCATTTCTTTAGATAATTCAAATTATTTCTCAATAAAACAGCATGTTTCAGTTGCTTGTCCATGTGCTGCAGTTTACCTTGCATCTTGCAGTTTCCTTTCAGAGACGAATATCTCTGTAGGAAAAAATATATACACTGTTGGTAACAACATTTTGTTTTTGTGTGGTTTGATCTTGTAGTAATCCAGCCTCTGTAGGATAGAATGATACACATGCTAATATTGGATAGCAATATTGAGCCAAATTGTGCTTCCTATGTTTTCATCCATGGTTTTGAAAACTGGAGGAGATAGATAGTTATTGTCTACCCAGAAGTCTCAGATATAGAAACTGACTTCATAGACCCTTTCAAAAGGTGAATAATATATTGATACACAAAGGTTTTTTTTTATAATTATCTGTGCAAATATCATATGTAAGATTTATACATGGCCCATTGTGTCCATCTCCCATTTCTCTCACTCTAGCACCCTTCTTGCTTGTTCTTAATGGTTTATCTAATACTTTTGAGACATCATAATTTATTTTTCAAGTTGTTCTTTTTTCTCACTGTTGTGTATTCCCAGCTCAGATGCGCAAACTAGAAGGACTTGAAACCATTGCTGTTACAACGAATGGCATCAACCTAGCCAGACTTTTGCCCCGGCTCAAAGAGGCTGGCCTAAATGCCATTAACATCAGCTTAGACACATTGGTCCCAGCAAAATTTGAATTCATTGTCCGCCGAAAAGGTATAGCAAGTATTTTACTATAACTTTTTATAGTTGTGGAGTTTGTTTCCAAAATCTACCAAATTCAAAAAAGAAATTAAAAATGAGCTATAGGTGGCAAGACATTCTTGGCAAGGAGTAGAATATTATGTAGAGATCAAAACGATCAAAATGTATCACATCACTTCATTACAAGGCTTGAAAATTTTCAATTTTTTTCAAATCTTCAGCATATTTTTGTATTCCTGTAAAATTTATTCGGAGGGATTTGGTACTTTTTAGAAACAAGCTCCACAATTATGTCTTTGGTATTTTAATAATTTTGTCCTGCATAATGTTTGTCTGATTAGCAGACAATGTGGAAAGGAAATCTAGGGGATAATTTAGGAGCTTGTACAATGACCTTTTCCAGTGTTTTTTTTTTTTCATAAAAAGGTTTGTTTAATTTGTTGCACACCAGTATATAGATATTAATATACATTATTTAAACTCTGGATCATTCACTGTTTGTGTGAACTCTGCTGTAATTATTAAAGATTCATAGTTTGTCAGAAGCAGCTTATTATCTACAATAAACACAGAGTGCACCCGTGGAGGCAAAGGAACTGTAGAAAGACAGACAAAGAAGTTGCAAAAGACTTAATTTGTTTCTTGTGGTATAGGGAAAAAAATGTTGCTGAAAAATAATAGTCCTGATTTTCAAAGGGAATTTTGAAGTAAGAGGGGCAGAGGACATTGCAGCTAAAAGAAACTACATGGTGGAAGAACAACTGGTTGGTTAATTGTAAATCAGTTTCTATTGAGTAGGGGACACAAGCAAAACAAGACGACATAAATAAGGACCATAGGGTGGAAGCCCTTGTGCAATAAGAGTAAGAATTCATAGTAGTGGATTAATTTGAAAAGTTGATTTGTAAAGAAAGCTTTCTGAGAGTGACCTAGCAAAAGAGGAGGGAAGAATTATTAGCAAAATTCGTCTGGGATCCGAAAAGACTGATTGTTCTTTGTCTGTTCGGTGTATTAGTCTCAGACATAACCATAATTCATAAATAATAGATACTTTCAGAGAACAAATATGTACAAGTCACAACCAATTCACAACTCTGGAGCTCCCTGCCTAGGGAAGCAGGAATGGCCCTGTTACCCTTCTAATGGCATGCTAAAACCTTTTTTATTCAGGCAGGCTTTTAAAGAAGGAAGTTTTTAAGATCAAGTCATGGGGTGTTGTGGCTTTAGCTCTGAATAACTTTTTAATTAGTTTTAAGAGGTTTAACCATGTATTTTAATACTATTAATATTTAATTCTATTTTAATATTTGTATATTTTAGGTTTAAAAGTGTATTATATTGGTTTTATTGTAAGCTGCTTTTATTCTCTTTTTAGAGAGTAAAAGTGGGGTATAAATAGTAATTACAAAAAGAACAATAATTTTAAATTCTGAAATGAAGGTCTATCTGCAGAAATAAATGCATGATATCTGAGTAGTGGAACTTTGGGAAGGGACTCACCCAAGATTTTGTGATTGGATCAATTTGACAAGCTACATTTGGTTTATTTCATTATTAGTGCACATCTTCACTGATTTCCTTACTGCGGATACAGTCTCTTAAATTTAAAAGCACACTGCATTATTGCCTAATACTGTCAAGAATATTGCTGAAAGTTCAGTCATGTGAGTGATATTGTCAACCTAGACCAAAATAAATCAATTTAATGTTCTAGGACTGGCCATAAAATTTTCATCACTGAATATCCAAGTAGTGCTTTATTAGTAACCATTAAGATTGAATAATTTGGAATGAAGATATATGTCAGCTGGTTTTAAATTCCAGTTTGGCAACAGGCTCTTTGTTTGTTAAAAACATTGAGAAAAAAATAATACATTTGAAGCAGCAAAATTAGTTTTCAGGCCTTAGAGGCTTGATTAGAGCCACTATGTTGCTTTAAATGTTTTCAAAAATATTTTTTTTCCAAAGTAATATTCTGTCACATAAATGAGATTTGCCCAGCAATGAAATATATAGAGATAAATCGTCATTCCAGCTGGAAATATTTTAATTGTGTTATAAAGTTTGCAGAAGACATTATCTCAGTCACAAAAATTTCTAACAGTTGTGCTTTTATATGTGCAATGATGGAATAATTGCCACAGTTTCTTTATATTGTTATGCATACTGGTTAGAATTGAACCCCTGTATTTTTTCAAAAATAAAAAATCCAAGGTTGTTTAGGGTATGACATTCCACTTGGGTTCTGCCAATGGATGAGCTCAAGGGTAACAGTAAAGAGTAGGAGAGTAGTAAAAGTTGGCTTGCTAGGTAGGCTTTGAAGTTTTTCCAGGCACAATGTAAAGTACTTTAGAGTTTTTACTCTCAATAGAGTCATAGGAATCCCAGGCAGAATATGGGAGAGCCTCCATTGCTTTAGCATTTAGCAGATTCTTATTGAGGAAAGAAAGACACAATTATAGATTTGGAAGAGACCACATGGGCCATCTAGTCCAATCCTCTGCCATGCAGGAAATTATGTCAGGAGGAACTATGACACCTCTCCTGCTTTATCATACACACACATACACACACACCCCTGCCAAAGAAAAACATTTCAGCTGATGCAACTCCCTCTATACAGCTCTTTACTTGCTTGTGGAAAGTCAGCCACAGAAGGGGAAGAATGGAAGGAAAATGACCCACTCCATTCCTGTAATTGGACACAAACACGCATCTTCTGTAACTTCCTATGTCTTGAAGGATAATGTCATTGGGAGTATCTAGATACTATAAAAGAGCTGATTAATTCATCTCTGCTGCCCTCACCCACTTTTCACCAGATGTGTTCTTTGGCAAGGGGAGTTGGCTAAAAGATAAGATTTGGAGGAGTGAAGAGAAAAGGTTCCTCCAGAGGAAATGTTATGGCAATAATCTGCTGAATATTAATGCAACAGGAATCCTGTTTTGTATTCAACTGGGTAGCTCTTTCAAATGATGCATTTTCTCTTCCTCCTCTTACAATTGTAAGTCCTTCACCCCTACTAAAAGGGAAGGGTGTGATTAAAACATTGAAGATACTATAAAGGTGTCTGTGTTTGTGCATCATGATGAAATTGGGCTGAAGTCCACAAAAATCCATGCCTGGCTAGTCTTTAAAAGTGCCATAAGAGCCTGGGTTTTTACACACATAAAGCTTGCCAAAAAGTCCACAAGCACACATATTTATGCATTCTTTCTCTTTTCTTGGGGGAGAAGAATGTCATTTGAAAGGAGGAACTTTAAACAAGCATACCAATATACTTGTGCTTCTGTTGGCAGATGTGATTGGAATTTCATCTGGACTTTCCCAACAGAAGTATTAAAATTTAGCACACTGCTGTTTGGTTAAAAAAAAAAAAGCAGATTATGGTTTCACGGCATCAGAATGGTGATAAGCAATATGAAAACAAGATTAATGTTGTATCAGTGCAATCTGTCACATGTGCATGGAATTCTGAACTAGAGTTTTAATCCTAAATCACATTGAAAGAAAGGTAATCTTAGTTTTGAGGAAATGCCATCTGTCACCACTAGATGGTACTTTAGTCCGTTGAATCAAATTCACATGGGGAGGTGGGAGGAGCAGCCAATAAAAATGACTTTAATATGTTCAAGATGTTTGCACATTTTCTTTGTGTTATATTTAGTTGTTTCTAAATATGGATTGAGCTATGTAGGGGAATTTCGGAGCAGTTGGAGAGACCAATCTTTTGAGGGCCTACATTTGATCATGTATCAAGATTTAGAAAACTTATAGCATTCAGTTATGGGTCTGGAAAAAACAAACATGTTCTTCTTAAACTCTGCTGCAATATAATCAATTCAGTCTAATACCCAGAAAATTTGGTATAATATCTAAGTTGGATGTGTGACGATTTTTTGGACAGTTTAATTAATTAGATTGATTTTTGTGAACGTTAAGGCTTAAAATCTGTACTGGTTCCAACTAGAGTAGGACCAGTGAATCCATGAAACTTACACACACACATACACACACATATGAGTGAGACTTAGTAAATCAACATATATGTGAGTTTCATGGATTAATAGCTCCTACCCTAGTTGGGACCAGTACAGATTTTAAGCCTTAATAAATTATACTAGCAGGGTCTAGTAAGTGGATTTATAGTAATCCTAACACATTCAGTAAACAGGACTCCATGCTATTTATACTAATTCCTTTAGAGCAGTGGTTCTCAACCTGTGGGTCCCCAGTTGTTTTGGCCTACAATTCTCAGAAATCCCAGCCAGTTTACCAGCTAATAGTTCTGGGGACCCGCAGGTTGAGAACCACATTTTAGAGAATTTTTTTTCCATGTACTTTTTAAACTAGAAGATGTGGTGACACAGCTACAAGCCTTCATGGCTTCTAAATGGGTTTTTAACTCCTCCCCCACCCCTTTGTGTCTTGCTTGTAAGCACCTATCTGGCCACCGCATGAAACTGGACTTGATAGGTCTTCGGTCTAATCAAATAAGGTGGTTGTTAAGTATTTAGTACCCTGCTATCTTCGTATCTTGAGTAATTATTATATGGGAAGGATAATTCAGAGTTGGGCTTATTCCTCTTTCCAGATGTTCCCTGAAATCCGCCACTAAGAAAACAAATGAGTTTCTCAGAATATTCCTGAAATATTTGTGTGCCTGCTGTGTTTGTCCTGTATTATGGATGCTTGTGTTTTGGTTACTTTTTTCTTGATTCCAAAATAGCTTCTGACTTTCCTGAACTCACATAAATGTCCTCTTCTTTCTGACCAGTTTCCAAGCCTATTACTGATATGTTTATCATTATAGGTTATACTCTCAGCTGCTGTTTAGTCTGTAACTGCATTTCAGTGAGATAAACATTGCAATTGATGTCAGAGGTTTTCTGAGGCGCAAGGTAGAGAAGTAACAACTAGTTTAGACATCAAACAGTTGCTGTAGGATTTCTGGTTATTTATTCGAAGCTTTCAACTTTTTTTCAGCCACTTTGCCTGGGAGCTTTTGCTCTTATGTGTTAGAAAGTAACCATGATACTAAAATTGCAGAGGCTTGTAATATGTGCGAATAGTATGAATGAATGACATGGTAGTGATTTAATTTTTGACATTAAATTTTGTTTTTTCTCCATTTTGGTAGTTTACACAAAAATACAAAGGGAAATTAATTCAGCTTTAAAGGAATGTGAAGTGTAGAGGTTATCATATTTGTATTTAATGTTGTCTATTTTCTTAAAAAGTGACTTCTTTCATAATAAGAATGATTTCTGTTTATGTTTTAGGTTTCCACAAGGTGATGGAAGGCATTCATAAAGCTCTTGAACTTGGATATGATCCTGTCAAGGTGAGAAGCTTTAACATTGTAGGTTATTCATGTCATGGTATGTCATGGTAGGTTTGGAGTTATTTTAATTCTTATGTTCTTTATTTCTCTATAATTTTTTACAATGGGTGTTCAAATAAATGCATTTCTTAAATCACCTCCTCTGTCATGTATTTATATCCTGCTTATTTCCGAAATTTTGGGCAATGTGGTTTGCAATTTAAAGGAGCATGGCAATTACAAACATAGAAAAAGTGAATATTATAATAGAATTAACTATTTGCAGTATTAAAATAGTTCATCCCTCACTCTTCAACTCACTCTTCAAGCTTTTTTTCTTGTGTTTGCAGAAAGGGGAAGAGAAATGAGTGTAGAACAGTGCTATCTCATTTGGTAGCATGGCCATCAAGTTTGACAAGTTTAGTGTAAAACCTCAGTTCTGAATAATATATTCCAGTTCCCATCTCTAGCAACCATGCCCAAAGTTGCTGCTTTTGAGGGGGGGGGGGGGGAATTGCCAGATTCAGTTATAGTTGTATTATTGTTCTGAAGCTTTATTCTTTGATGCTGAGTATATTTTTGTAAAACCAGTTGATTTAATCAGCATCCTGTTGTTTTTCATTTTCTAGGTGAACTGTGTGGTTATGAGAGGCCTCAATGAAGATGAGTTGCTGGATTTTGTGGCACTTACAGAGAAATATCCCCTGGATGTGCGCTTCATAGAATACATGCCCTTCGATGGTGAGTACTTCTCCTTTCTGTGTCCTCCTTGGGAGAATGATTGTACTAGAATTGGATAATTCCAATTTCTTTAGAAGAGGATGGTAGAATTTAATTTATTTAATTCAGAGGAAGGTGATGGAAAATGCCCTCTGAAAAATCTTGCCAAGAAAGCCCTTGATAGGGTTGCCTTAAGTTAGAAGCAGCATAAAGGTATTCAACAACTACTATGTATTTACTACCCCACATATTTCATGGAGTTTTCCTAAGGAAGCTTGAAGAGTATCATCTTCAGAATAATTGTCAGCTGTATGGATTTCAAAACTTTCTGTTTGGGCGGGGGGGAGGGGGTATCTTGAGTGAATCTTAGAAACTTGGTTGGTGGTTAATGAAAAATACTTTCTAAGTGATTTCACAGATTTGTAGTATCAAAAGCTTAAATATTGAATGATATATTATATGACTTTCCCTCATATTAAAACTGCAAAATATTTTGTTCTGCATTTTGTCTTTCATTCATTTCTCCTCCTTTTTCTGCTTATTCTTCTTTTTATGATTCCTTGCTTGTGAAGAGTGCCCAACCTTCTCCAGAATGCTGTTCTGTAGCAGTCAGCGGAAAAGAATAATTATAAAAATATATTTAAAAAATGAATATAGAAAAGCATACCTTGGAATACTAGCGAAGGAGTGTTTGCGGCAGGGAGAAGCTAAATGTTCCATAGACTAAAAGTAAGGGCTTCAGAGATCAAGGAAGTTAAATATTAACGGGAACATGACATTTGGGAAACAATAATAAAGTGAGATGTTTATCATCAAGGGAATGTTTCTGGCAACCAGACAAGGACGCTTGTGTAGATAATTGATCTGAGGCTGGAAAAGGTCAGAGCAGCATCTGGTGGTTCAGTGAGGTAAATAGCAGGTAACTTACGAATATGGGAATAATTAAGATTTGAAACAATTATAAGTACGTCAATATAATATGTCATTGTGATGTATGGGAAAAGGTAATGCGAAATACCTCTGTTAATGTTTATATCTGTGTAAATGTCAAGACAGTTATACGCATGTCTAAGACCAGTGGATTTCTGCTATAAATATTGTAAGCTGACTGACTTCTAGTACGCTTCAGAGATTGTTCTGAGCGTCCTATCATGATAGTAAATATGCCTGGAATCAAATTTGCAGTCTCCGTCTCCTTCCTGCTTGATTGTGCTCTAAAATGATCTCGGGTAAAGTATCTGCCGCAACAGTTCCTTCCTGGCTGGGCAAGGACAGAGATTCCTCCTAAATATTAGGAAGACATTCCTGTTAATGAGAACTGTTTGACAATGGAATGCCCTACCTCAAAATGAACTATCCTTCATTAGAGGTCTTCATATAAAGAAGGCCCTGTGAAGTAGGGAGGTTGGTTTAGGTGGCTTTCTGCATTATCCTCGTGAGTTGATAAAGGAGTAAAGGTGAAGTCTTAGCTATAGCAAATAAATGAGAGACCAAGAGCTGCATTAAATGCAGAGGCTAAGAATGGTAAGTCATACATTTTTCCCTCATGAGTTTGGGAAGGTCTCTTGACATAGAGTTGCTGTGAGCTTTTTGGTCTGTATGGCCATGTTCCAGTAGCATTCTCTCCTGACATTTTGGCAAGTTGGGATATTCCCAGAGGGTTATTGTTACAGCTGTGAGCCACAAAGATACTCATTGGCATCTGAGAAAATGTTAAAGTTTTTCTTCATTGTTCTTATTAACAGCTGCAGTTCTCTCACCAGCTGACGTTTTCTGTAGCTTTGCAGAAAAAAAAAAAAACAAGCATGCTGAGCTACACTATGCCATCTTAATGCAAAATTTTCAGCGGGTTTCATAGCTTTTAATATGTAATATGACTTCCAGGATGTGCGTTTTTGAATTTCTAAATTGTCTGCATCCAACCCTATGGCTGTCACTCATTATGCAATTATATTTGTGTGCTTCTCATTGTAGGCAACAAATGGAACTTTAAGAAAATGGTGAGCTATAAAGAGATGCTGGATACAATCAAGCAAAAATGGCCAGAGCTGGAAAAACTGCCATGTGAAGAAGCCTCTAGCACTGCCAAGGTAGTTGACAGCATGATCGGGGGAGCCCTCTAAAGCTTATTAAAGTTCCAGACATGTTCAGAAGTGTGCCAAGCTTTAGCCAATTCTGTTAGTGTCAAAAAGAACAATGCAACAGCTGCAATTGTTCCATTAGACCTCCTGCCATAATCACCAAAAGGTTCATCATATTAGGAGCAGTTTATAGGCTGCAGAATCAAAGAGTATTGGTAGGAAGATGGTGTGACTATATATTGAGTAAGCCGATTCTTAGCATGAATAAAAAAAATGGGGAGCAGTACTGGTAAGACATAAGTTGCAACAATCCTCCAGATTAGGTGATTCTAATTCCCAAACCTCCAGTGGGATGGTAAAGAAAATATGTCCTCTGGATAAGGAAAAATATCTCTGTGATTGTTTGCATGCTGACTCATTGAAAGAAGGCATTTGGAATCTAGTTACTGTAAAACCACAGAGGAAGGTGTATGTGGTAGTCCCCGCCCCACAGACAGAGAAGGTAAATACAGATAAGGCAGTAGAACATAGTAACTGAAATCATCACAGCGTGCTGTTAAGTATGACCTAAAAGTAGTTTCCCAGTTGATATTATACATAGGTATACTTATGAAATCCCTTAATCCATATCCTGCAATAAGTATTTTCTTTCTTATGTATCAGCAGTCATAGATAATTTTATCTATATTCTTGTTGCTTGTACATGTGGTTTACAGATCCAAAGAATTCATGGCCAATTGTGGTTTCCCAGAATTTGTACACAAGACTAAATATAGATATGTCCAGTTCTTACATATGATCCACATATGTTTGGCATGATATTTTCTTCACAGAAGCATGCTTCATGTAGGAATGTTGTAGTTTGATCTAGTCTCTTTATTGTAGGACCTCATGAAAAATGGTAATAAGACCTTTTTCTATATATAGGCAAAGAAGTCTCATCACAAAGTTCAATAGGGATATCTCTTCACAAAAGAAAAATGTGTTGGTTTCACACACAATTACACTACGTGTTTTTAATCTGGTATAGAATCATAGAGTTGGAAGAGACCTCATGGACCATCCAGTCCAACCCCCTGCCAAGAAGCAGGAATATTGCATTCAATATTGGCATTTTTTTTTGTAAACCTATGTTACATACAGCCTACAGATAGACATATGCCATACATGATACAGTCCAACAAAGCAAATTATTTTTCTTGATGTCTTTTTAGAACTGTTCTTGGGATTTTGGAGGGGGCTTGTTCAGAAAATTGCATTGGCTAGACCATATCGGCTCTAGTTTCTTAGATATGGTTAATGGTTTTCTACGGGCCAGTAAATGGCAACTGGTTGATGGCATATGTTCTGTATCTCAAAAACTAGAGTTGATGGGGGGAAACTGGTGCCATTTTTGGAATCAGTTGATCAAATATACCCAGAAATGTCTAACATTTGAGGCACCAAAATGTCTGTTGGTCGGTGTTAGCAGTAAGTCGGTTGATTTGATTGAAATCTGGCCTTTCCTCCCAAGAATTCAGTTAAAATCATAGATTACAAATGCATAATATCACACATCAGAAATCACAAGCTACATTTGTGTAAAGTTGAAAATTTCTAAAACCATAAATTGCAAATATTTCCTAAAGTACAGTGAAATTGATAATACTGGCAGCACTAAAAACAAATCCATTTGTACCAGCTGGCAGAAAATTTGCTTATTTTCTGCCAGCTGGTACAAATGGGTTTGTTTTTAGCTTTCACCCAATAGACAAAAGTAGATCTTTGATAGACAAGAGTTCCATACCTGGGGTGCCACCACCAAAAAAGATCCATTGGCTATAGTATTCCGAGGCATCACTATCAGGGCTTCTGGGGATGATTTTAAATCTAGTGGTATGGGGACAGTATCAGGATAGTATTTTAAGTACATGGGTCCTGAACTATTTAGGGCTTTGTATTTCACTCTCCCATTCTTTTTATACCACGTAATAGCCCATTTTCAATTTTCTAACCTATGTATTTCATTGGAAGTTCTGTCTTTAGCAGCAAGCTAATTGTGTAGATGACAGTAATGATGATGCATAGTGATTGCCTTTATGCTTCTTTTTTGCTTCCCGGTTATGACAGACATATAAGGTGCCACATTTTCAGGGACAGGTCAGCTTCATCACCTCGATGTCTGAGCACTTCTGTGGATCCTGTAATCGACTTAGAATCACAGCTGATGGGAACCTGAAGGTAGTATCATCATATTGCTCCTCAGTAACTGATGTACTTGATATTTGATTGATTATATAGGATGCTTTGAATGCAGTTTTCCTGCTTCTTGGCAGGGGGTTGGACTGGATGGCCCACGAGGTCTCTTCCAACTCAATGATTCTATGACTTCATCAACGGCTCACAGGCAGAGATAGTACTGTATACTAGACAGATCAAAAGGTCATGGGGTGAAGGATCCCTAAATAGGAGCAGAAAATCGAATTATAACTCTTAGTCATTCATTTACATTTACATTTTTAAGTGTGCCTGAAGGAGCAGCAGCTGTCCCTTTTGGCTCAGCTGCTGTGTCTTGGAAATGTTTTTCCTCCATCCCGTTTTCTTCATAGAGATGTTTGAGCTGTAAAATTAATTGGTGAGAAGCCTGTGAAGATAAACACATTGTTCAGCTTTTTGTCATATTAAATTGGCACCAGGCAAACTACTCCAAGCAGTATGGCTGGGGGCTGGGGAGGGGGGGGGGTGGCTTGGTTTTTCTACTTTTCCAGTATCCAATTTCACAGCAGAGGTCTGTTTGATGTATCAAATCAGGCATGTGTTGCACAGACTGAGCAACTAAATGGGTGGAAATGTATTTTGTGTGTGTGTGTGTGTGTACTCTGAGTGGTGGATCTGTTCTCTCTGCCACGTTGTTCTGTAATTGAAAGTAGTGTGAGATTAGTTTTGACACTTATCTTCTTGCAGTAACAACAGAAGTTGTCCTAATAGACGATTGACACTATTTCAGAAGGATCTCTCTAGAGTTAGGTGAAAGATTTCAAATCAAGTTGCTTCTTCTTTTTGTTGTCTTATAGTCATTTCTGACTTATGGGGATCTTTGTTTTTATCTGTGGCTGAGAGTGTGTGACTTGTTCAAGGTCATCCACTGTATTCCCATAGTTAAGCAGAGTTTCAATCCACCATACCACACTGGCTGTCACCAAAGCTGACCAAAATGCACTAGTAATTGGCTTGGCTACTTATGTTCATGTAGCATTTACCTCCACTTTTTGAAAATAGATGCCGATGTACTGAAAAGTTGATGTAGGTTTTCTTGTAACAAAAACTTCACCTTGAAAAAAGGAACTTCCTTATAATAGGATCTCCATCTAAAGTTGGAGAAAGGGGGATCAGTCTACAAGAAGAAAGGTCAGGCAAAGAAAGAAAAAGAATCAGTTTTCATGGGTACTTATTTCTTAGTGCATTGTTTCTGCTTCTACCTCTACTAGCATCCTCTTTCGTCTCCTTCTTTCAGGTGTGCCTTTTTGGAAGCTCAGAAGTGTCCTTGCGAGATCATTTACGGTCTAATGCCTCAGAAGAAGAATTAATTCAAATTATTGGTGGAGCTGTTGGCAGGAAAAAGAAGCAACATGCAGGTACTTTATAGTCTCCCACAAGTGTAGGCTGCAGTGCACATCCCATGGAGATCCCCTATCTGAAATTGAATGTATGGGTTAAGTCAGATATTGCATCCATCTCTTCTGGGATCTTGCTAATTCTTCACATGAAGGAATGCTGAAGGTGCTGCATGCTTTTTGTCATAAATTGCAACTGCTCTTCATTTGCTTTTATCACTTTTTTAAAAAATGATCCAAACATTGTCAATGTTTTAATATTTTGAAAGCAAGCATTGCATTTGTAATTGCTCCATCCCCAAGAAATGGCAGTGCTATTCTTGATCAAAGGCTAAAATTATATCTGGCAAAATTTCATTAACCATTAATTATGTGGATGTCCAAGAAAGGTCTGCTTACTTGACAAAGGATTTACATCTCATATCTGGTGATTTGCTTTATCTTTAATGCATTGGTGTCAGAGCTTTAAGAACCACTAAAATTCTGCATCCAGAAGACCCTTAGTCTTACTCTTGTGGTCCTTAATGAATACCTGAACAATATCATAGCACACAAAGCCAACCAAGATATTCCAAAGAAGGGGCAGACAGACTTCAGTCAAGCAGATTTTTGTTGCTACTTAAGCCCTGAGATCCATTAATCAGAGTATTCTGTGAAAGATATAGGTTTTATTTTATGTATTACATCAAAGTATATAATCCTTCATAAAGTTACTTTTTTCCTTCAACTCAACTATGTAGCTGGGGAAGTTGGCATTTTATTGTTGCTCTTATTAACCAGCTTGGAGGAATTTTTGCTAATAGCCAAGTAGATCTAAATCCATCTTATGCCAATATATGTCCAAGAATGCTCTAATTGTATATCCTATAATGGCATGGAAGTCTGATTCTGTTTTACTACAGCTACTTCTTGCTGACGGAGGAACAATGACTAAAATATTCTGTATTGGGATTGTCGTTTTAGTTTTAATATTCTAAATACAATGCCTCTTGATCAGAGAAACTATCTAGATGAGTAAAAACTTCAAAACCCTGTAATTCTTCTCTGTTCATTCTTTTATTCCCAGGCATGATCAACATTTCCCAGATGAAAAACAGACCAATGATTCTCATTGGTGGGTGACCCAATCAGTACGTAATAAACTCTACCATAATGCTATGGATATGCAGCCTATTTGATGAATCAGTCTAAAACAGAACGCACAACCTTGTTGTCCAACATTATCAATGTGTATAAGCAATGGGGATTGAAACTTGGTTTTAATCTGAACTTTTAAGGAGTTACTTAGGGTGTAGAATCTTGTCCCCAAAGTAGGTTCACTGTCATGGAGTGTGTGCGTGTGTGTGTGTTTGACTATTTATCTAAATTCCTTTTTTGGTGATTTCCCTTCTTTTCCATTTCTTGTACATGAACATTTTAAATCTTAGCTCAGTTGAAATTTGTTTGGGCATCCATTCTGGGTTTTTTTTTAGACTTTGCTTATTTTTTTCTCCTTGTTGGCACTGGTTGCAATTGTGTCTTCAGAAACTGCCATCCATTATTAATTCTTTTCTCTTTTAGTATTCCTGAATCACACTCAGTATTTCCCTACATTTCCTGAAGTCAGCTCCCCTAAAGTCTAGAATGCATGCCTGACTTCTCTTAGTTTCCAGTTTCCTCTGTATCACAAACTCCAGGAGAACATGGTCACTCCCACATAAGGATCCCACCACTTCCACACCATTGATCAAGCCCTCTGTGCTGGTTAGGATCAGATCCGGAATAGCTTATCCCTTTGTTGCATCTTTAACCTTCTAGACAATAAAAATGTCTGCAAGGCAAATGAGGAATTTATTGAACATTGTAATCTTAGCAGAGTTTGTTTTCCAACAAATATCAGTATACTTAAAACCTCCCATTACTATTATATCTCTTATTTCTGCATATTTGATCATCTGTTAAAAAAAAAAAGATTTTATCCAGGTCTTTAGTCTGGCTTGGAGATCTCTAGTAGCCTCCCCCTCCCAACTACATCTTTTTCAGTTCTCAGTCTCTTAATTCATATCCAGATGCTTTCGATCTAGTTGCCAGGGTTTAAGTCCTGCATCTCTTTGCAGGTGTCAGTATCCTTGGCATATAATGTTACTCCACCCCCTTTCTTGTTTGGTCTATTTCTCTAAAATAAGTTACACCTCTCCAATGCTACATTCCAATTATAGGACTCATCTGATGAGGTTTAAGTTATGCCTATTACATCGTAACTGTTTTGTTATTCTAAGAGTTCCAGTTTATCTTGTTTATTTCCCATGCAAACATTCCTTCTAACTTCTGTGAGGTGCCATCCATTTCGTGCCAGAGGCCCCACTTCATGGAAATGCAGACCATGATCCAAAAAACCAAATCTTTCTTAACGACACCTTATGCAGAGCCAGTTGTTTACTACTATTGTTCTCTCCCTTTCTGAGACACGTCATGCATCTGGAAGGAGAGATGAAAAGACCACCTGTATATTAAGATCCTTAAGCTTCAAAATTCCTTCTGATCTTTTGAAGACTATGTCTTGAAGCATCATTAGTTCTCAAATCGATTCTTTACTTCAGATTCACAGAAAAACACCTGTTTTTGTGTGTCACAGTCCTCCAAACATTTGGACTCCTCCTCATAGCCATCGCCTACATGTTTATCTGATGTCTATTGTGCATCTAGAACAGTCTGCTCTGCTGTATCCAAGAACAGCTCAAGATCCCTAATGTTCCTAAGTATAGAGAGTCAGGCATCCAGTTGCTGGATCTTCTCTTCCAACAAAGCAACCTGTTCACAGACTTGCTGCAGATGTAGCTTGCCACATGTTCTGGCAGGAACACAAATATCCCACAGGCCTGCAGGTGACTTCAGCTGCTTCTCCTTGTTCCTTATTCTGATGATTTAGATTCCCAGGAAGAATTGCCAGAGTACTCTGTCCCTCTCCTCAAAACGTATCACTCATCACCTTTTCTTTTTTTTAGAGATCAACATTACTGGCTCCTCCCCCAGAAAGGTCGAGTGATTAAGCTCTTCCCTTCCAACCTGAAACATGGCCTCAAACAAACGAACCAGCACACTAAACACAATAACTTCCTGACAGCCTTAAAAACAAACATGCCACCTTTACAAACAAGCCCCCAATACCTTCCAAGAATCAAGGGTCTCCCCTCCTGCTTCCTCTTCAGTCACTGGGCCTCTTTTTCTGTGTTTTTAGATTTACAATTAGTTGCGTTATCAGAATTGTCTAGCTTGGATATGGATAATTTGGAAAAAGAGAACAATTAACAAAAAGCATTTCCACAGCAGGGAAAAACTTTGTGGTAGACCAGTAACCATCCCAATGGCGCTCTGTTAAGTTATGTTTGGGTCTTGCCTGTAATTAAACAAGACATCTGAGGGGAAGCTATATGCAAAGATAGGATCCCTCCAGCTGATTTTGGAATGGCAGCCTGGCTGCCTTCAACATGTTGCATTGCTAAGAACTAGATTGAATCTGACAAGCATGCATTCTACATCTTGGGAAAACTAACCACTGGCATTCTGAGCACAAAAACAGCATGGTCTCTTGCCATGAGCCAGGAGCCAGCTTTATGGTGACACACATACTACTGAGGGCATATGGACAACGGCTTCCTAATTTAGGTTTCAAACCAATTGCATACTTCCAGGGAACCCAGTTCATGTGTGAAAAGACAGAAGAAATTGGGTAGAGACCACCAAGAAAAGAATGAGGGAATGTAGGCTCCACTATATACACAGTGAATGTTATGAAAGGGGGTGATTTGCATGCAATATTCCTGCTTCTTGGCAGGGGGTTGGACTGGATGGCCCATGAGGTCTCTTCCAACTCTTTGATTCTATGAAAGGGACAGTTGCATAGTTCTGCTGTCTAAGCAGATTGTCATGTTCTCCTTCCTTTTTTCAACTTATTTCAATTTAACAGGCTTCTCTTAAAATGTAATCTGTTTTTAGGTTGTTAGGTTTTTTTTCCTCTCTTTTGAGACATGTTCTTTCACTGTCACTGGGAAATCTAGCAGTATGTTCACAACAAGAAGTGCTCAGTGAAGGCTTTTGCAGCATTGACATTAGTGAAAACAATGCTTTGAAGTACTGGTTTCAGGTTATAACATATAGCCCCTGCCTTCTGAATCATGCCTTAATTTGTATGCCATGCTTGTTTCTCTTTCAGCCAGCTACCTTTCCCATTGCACGTTGGATAATCTTTAATTATGCAACGTAGCTAATATTTTCATTTCATTTCCTCCAAATATTGATTGCTTAGCAGCTCCTACTGAGTCATACAGCAGGAGAAACTAACCGCTATATATTTTGAGATGCAAAGAACTAAGAAGTGTACATGTAACTTAACGTGCTTTTCAATAAATGATAAGCCCTTTAGCCCGATTAGAGGCTTTACTATATCCCATCCTTAAACTAAACCTATGGTTCAGTCAGACCATATTCACAGAATCACAGAAGGGGGCACAAAAGCCATTTAATCCATATTTCTGTCATGCAGATATACACAGCTCATGCACTCCTGAAAGATGCCCATCCAACCTATGTTTAAAAACATCTTGCCCACTGGAATATCACCCCCCCCCCCACCAATGTAACTCAGTTTAAAGCCCTCTCATTCATATTTATTAGACTCTTCACAAATATGTTTTTTCCAATGGCTGTAAAGTAAAACTCATCTCTTTCAAGAAATCCCTCTTTGTGAAAGTGAAGGACATGATCCAAGAATCTTAATCTGTCCTTAACAGCACCTTCTCACTTCTAATGTTTTTCTCCCTTTTCTTGGGCCATATTTTTCAACAAGAAGGAGCAATGAAATTAAAATCTGTGCCCCAAGGTCATAGAATCATAGAATCAAAGAGTTGGAAGAGACCTCATGGGCCATCCAGTCCAACCCCCTGCCAAGAAGCAGGAATATTACATTCAAATCACCCCTGACAGATGGCCATCCAGCCCTGTTTAAAAGCTTCCAAAGAAGGAGCCTCCACCACACTCCGGGGCAGAGAGTTCCACTGCTGAACGGCTCTCACAGTCAGGAAGTTCTTCCTCATGTTCAGATGGAATCTCCTCTCTTGTAGTTTGAAGCCATTGTTCCGCGTACTAGTCTCCAGGGAAGCAGAAAACAAGCTTGCTCCCTCCTCCCTGTGGCTTCCTCTCACATATTTATACATGGCTATCATATCTCCTCTCAGCCTTCTCTTCTTCAGGCTAAACATGCCCAGCTCCTTAAGCCGCTCCTCATAAGGCTTGTTCTCCAGACCCTTGATCATTTTAGTCGCCCTCCTCTGGACACATTCCAGCTTGTCAATATCTCTCTTGAATTGTGGTGTCATTTAGCTTCCTCTCCAGAGTCTCATTGTCCCTGGAAAATTACATCTTGCAGTATCAATTGTGGCTATTTAGAAGGAAGGGGTAGTTTTTAGAGGGACTAGTTAAATATGAACTTTATGGATCTTTGTCTATGGGACAGCTCTTGGGTTATCTTATCACACCTTTACAGCACTGCTTCTGTTCCTGTCATCAAGGAATCACCTACTATGACCATATGTCTCTTCTTCTTCTGAGAACTGATAGGAAACTTTCCATTTATAAAACCCTATAAGGTTGTCTGCATATTTTTTGAGGAAGTAGTTATCTGTGGGCTTAAAAAACACTGATGTTTCTGTGTGACACATTCTTCCAGGTGTCAGCCTCCTTTGAGAAGTTTCCCCCTCTAGATGTATTGTCTGTCTTTCCAAAAGAATCTGCACCATTCCTAAAAAGAAATATATCTTTGTCCCTTCCGATAAGTAAAAGTCAAGATAATACTTCCTTCACTTCCCTAATTCACTTGTTATTTTGTAGGGCGTAATTCTTAATTTTTCCTCCCTTCTCTGCAAGAACAGTTATGATTAATGTAGGAAAAAGCCAAGCAGAAAAAATTAAGCTCTGACCAAAGAGTGATTTGGGTTCCCCAGTGCTATGAGTGCCTCAGGAATTGTTTGGTTATGGCCAAAAATGCTTCCCCATTCTTCACTGTATGGAATCTCCTTGTAGGCATGTGACCAAACATTGTTCTGGATCTTAAAGACCAGCAAACTGCAGCCTTCTCCACTGTGCCCCCCCCCCCCCCGACTTTGGAACTCACTACCTGGTGAGATTAGACAAGCCCCTACCTTAGTAGCCTTCAAGAAAAAATTGAAAACTTGGCTCTTCTGATGTGCCTTTGGAGAGTGACCATTTATCCCATTTCTGTTCGTTCCAGCTACAGTATTGTCCCTATAATGCACTTTCCCCTGTCCTAAACTGAAAGCCTAACCCCACTGTTCATCCTTTTTGGGCTCCACTCAATTACACTTTTTATATTCCTACCTCATCCAGGGTTTTATCATTTTATCTCATCCATTTGGTCTGCCCTTCGTGTTCAATTTTATATTATGTCAATTTGCTTTATTTACTTTATTTTGCTACTGTATGTATTTTATTCTGATGCAATTTTTGTTGTCTGCATTTCACATTTTATTTTGCTGTATTGTGTCTTTGGGCTTGGCCTCATGTTAGCCGCCCTGAGTCCCCTTCAGGGAGATGGTGGCAGGGTATAAATAAAGATGATGATGGTGGTGGTGATGATGATGATGATTATTATTATTAGAGGTTGCCCTTCTGCTTCCAGAAAAATAGACACTTTCCCCTGTGGAATGAACATACACTGAACATACACTGAACCATTATAAGAATGATCTTTGATCTACACATTGAGTTTTATTAGACTTCTTGTCTCTCAAATGCTAGGAATAAATTAGGGCTGCTGGGGGGACAGAAATGTCATAGTGACACAAAAAAAGAAAAATGGAGAAGACTGTGCTCAACCTTCTTAAGTGTACACATCATTAAAGAGAGATTTGGCTACCTCTTTGCGTCTTCTGCCCCCCCCCCCCTTCTTTCACTCATAAAGAGAATTGCTCCCATTATGTTTAACAGTCTCCTTTTGACTTCGTCCTTGGCAGTGGACTCCACAACTGCCACAGCCAAAGGATTAATGAGAAGGGCAGAGAGGTCCAGTTCCCAGTGGACTCTGAGCTTAAGTTGGCAAAGCTCCCAGCCAGAGGGAGTAAAGGTAACATGTGCCACTGAGGGAATTTGAGCCTGCAGCAGCAGAACTCCAAGCATGACGTGTCTGTTAACACAGCAAGGACTGGCAAGCGGTAGCAAGTATAGCTCCTTTCTTGTTTGCCACTTAAAATGCTTGCCCATTCCCACTTCAGGTTCTCAGAAGAGGGAAAGAAGATTATTCCCACTTTGAAGCTTTGGCTATGTCTCCAAATGAGGAGGTTGACAGCCAAATCCTATAAAGGAGTTAGGCAGTCATGAAACATCTTGTACTTGTTCTCAGCTCCATTTAATGAGATGCTTCTGTAAGAGTTCACTCCTAAATCCTGGAATGTGTTAAAGAAAGAATAATGGCAATGGGCAGAGAACCAGTTATCTTATAAGTAAATCTGCCAGTAGGTTGTAACAGTTATGGGTAAATCCTGGCCTGTAAAGCAGATGGGTGGTTCTCATCCAGCTTATCTGCTTCTCTCTGTACTTATCACTGATTGGTTATTCAAGGTTTCTTATCAGTCTTACCTGGACAGAGGTTTTTTTTAAAGAAAAATAAAGTAAAATTATAAATTCCTATAGCGCTTCCCTGCCAAATCCTTTAAGGCTTTATAAACCTTAAAGGATTTGGCAGGGAGACACTGTAGAAATGAAGTTTCCCAACATAAAACCCCTTAAAAACTATGGCCTTGTCCCAGTGCACCTTTCAAAAATACCCCTTTAATGTTAATGAAAGCTAATGGAAGAGAGATGGAGAATAGGCTCTTCCCAATTACATTGGGCAACCACACCCATGACTGGCATAGGACTTCAAAATAGAAAACAAACAAGTTTCTAAAAGCCAGGAGTTTTGGCAGATTGTGTTCCCATTTTGATAATTTTAAGAGCTGTACTTAAATTGCTGACTTACTGAGCAGCCTCTGAGCAAACATGCAACTTAATAGCATTCCATATCTATTCTTAGTCTGAATACTTTCAGTGAAGGAGAGCCTAATAATAACAACAACAGTAGTAATAATAATGCTCATAGTTATACCCTTCCACCATCTCCAATAGGAACTTGGGGCGGCTTACAAAATAGCACACGGTGGTGCCATACAACCCTAAAATGCAATTACATCAACATTTAAAATCAATAACACATTTTAATAAAACCACGTTTATAAATTTAGCAAAAGAAAATTCAATTTAAATAAAATAAAATAGTCTAGTGTCCATTCCATCAGGCAATAGCTTTTAAAGTAAGGACTTATCAACTAACATTTAACTACATAGAATCAGCTTTGTTACTTACTTCAATTTATCAGTTCTAGCCCTGGCCTCTGAAGTTAGAGAAAACGGGTCAACCCCATCCTTTAGATAGCAGCTATTAGATGTTTGAAGCTATTTGACATTTGAAAACACTTTATTTCGTTTTCAGTTGACATCCTGTATGTATTATTGTTTCCTATCTTTCTTCACATGATATGTTTTCTAGAACCCATCCTGGTTTACTTTCCCTTGGTGTGTGCTGAGTTCAGTCAATATTGCAAATGCCTGAATGCTTTTTAAGAAGTTCTGTGATTTAACACCTATGATGTTCTCAAGCATCTGAGGATGCAGGAACTAGGTTTATGCATGATACATCTTCTACATAACTTGTAACATCTCCCAGGACTCAGTCCAATTGCTAGTCCCTATGGCATTAATAGAAGTGCTGGCCTTACAAATTAGCAGTTCCTGGGTAGAAAGAGCAATTAGATTTAGGCCAAGGACTCCTGTTATCACTACTTCAATTTTACAGTCAAAAGATATTGGTTCTCATGATTACAGAAAAAGTGTTTTTAAAGTGAAAAATAATATGACGTAGATTTTGTGATCCTATACTTCAAATCTTACTGAACAGTTTCTGAAGCCTAGTCTCCATGTGTGCCATTCCTTGCTTCATGGAGAGTAGGCAGAACCATGGAAGCATTTTGCTAAGTCTATGTCCCATATAGATCTCAGCACTGATGTCATCATTTTGCATCTGGCTGTGGGGAGTTGCTTTAGTAATCCTGCCCATTCCCCACAAAGTATGGAATGGATAGAGGAGGGAATTTGTCACTGTGGAGGAAACAAGGAATCCCTACCCCCTGTAATGACCCTAAACAGTTCACAGATGTAAGGGAACTATGTGTTCCTAATAGGATCCCTGCTGCAATATGGAAGAGATTCCAAGATAATCAACGAGGGGTTCTGAGTGACAGAAAAGAGAAAATGCTATTCTGCATGTAGCCTCTTACTAAGTCTCACCACTGTTCCCTGAATCATTGCTTACTTTTCATGCCTCTGGTTTTAGTTACAATATAGAGAATACACTACTATGATTTTATAATGGCTTAAGAATCCATAGCTCTATCACAATATAGTTGAGAACCAGTCCTGTTTCTGTAATCCTTTGCCAAGATCTCTTGCAGAATTGATCAGTTTTGGAGCTGGAACTATTTTAAGGGTGCTGTGGGAAATCTGTTATGAAAGTTTATTTTTCCCCATTCTTTGAATGATTCCTATACCATGTTCATTTAACACACCAGTGTTTTTTGTCAACTGCAAGCTGTCGTGAGACACAGGGAAGTTCTGCCTTACAAAGTTCTGTCTTACATTAGTTAGTTCGTGTATGATTGCTTCCCTGTCCTCAAGCAATCACATTCTAAGAATTGTTGAAAAGCATGGCAAAGTTTGATGTTTTCCTCTCTGTCCCCAGTGATTCATGGGATTTTATAGAACATTGCGTAAAATGACTACTGTTCTGTTTTTTCTTTCTTTCTATCTATCTAGCTTAACATTTTATTTTGTTGTTTTTCCCCCAGAGGCAACATCAAGGTCATTCTCCTTGCTCCAAGATGCCCTACAGAACCGACCAAGTTTAAGCAACTGGGGCCACAGTCTTAATCACTGGCTGACTCTGAGAAGGGGTTTATACAAACAGATGGGGAAAACATTTAAGAAAAATGTGTTTACAGGACATGATGCCTTGCCAGGATCTTGTTCAGCACGACAGCTTGCAGCAGGAATTCCGCAAGCTCAGCTCAGAAGCTGTTTTCTTCTCCAAAAAATCATGAGCTCCAGCTTGGATACAAAGTGCCTTTGGACAGGAATTATTTTCAAGCAGACTGCTCACATGATGAGAGGCCTTCACTCTGGGATGATGAATAACCAAGCAGAGGAAAGCAGTGGGACACGTCTTCCCACAGCCAAACATATTGGTGCTTCTGATTGTCTAACCCACATTGGCCAGGATGGCCGTGCATCAATGGTAGATGTAGGCAAGAAGCCAGATTCAGAAAGAACTGCAGTGGCTAGTGCTGTGATCACTTTGGGTGAGAAAGCTTTTGAACTGGTGCGGCAAAACCAAATGAAAAAAGGTGATGTGCTGGCAGTTGCACAAATAGCAGGGATTCAAGGAGCCAAGCTGACTAGTCTGCTGATCCCACTTTGTCACAACATCTCACTGAATTTGGTGGACATTGATCTGAGTCTGGATCATGAAAGACAAGCTGTGGTTATCCAGGCCAGGTGCTGCAGCCACAGCAAAACAGGTGTGGAGATGGAGGCGTTGACCGCTGCCAGTCTAGCTGCCCTGACTGTGTATGATATGTGCAAATCAGTCACTCGTGACATGGTCATTGAAGAGGTGAAACTGCTCAGCAAGGAAGGAGGGCAAAGAGGAGACTTCCACCGAAACTGAAGACATAAGCTAAAAGTTCTAAATCAAGTTTTGTCTGCATAAAAAAGAATTTTTGCATTCTAGGAATTGGGGTTGCAACCACTAGAAATCAAGCACAGTTTGACTTGCTGGCCTCTTTTCTTCTGGGTTGACAGCAATTTAAGTAACTTGTTGGTTTTTATGACAATCATCTCATAGAGCTGCTTGCCAGGAGCTTCTTCGTTCTCACATTGTTTTTAGCCTTGATAAAATGCAGGTTTTGATGAGCACTGTAACTTTTTTGATTACATAGAAGACTGCCATATCCAGAGTTCACAGTAATCCATAGTTTTTTTTTCCTCTGCATAAAAATATGGTAAACACTTGCACAGCAAATTAAACTGCTTAAGATAATTCTGGTCTAGAAGTAGAAATTATGACAAACAAATAGCACACATGGACTTAACACAGGAAGATATAAACTGTGAGCTATCTTATCACTTCCTAGACCTTGTGGCCCACATAGAATTTGGGTCAGGGGGCAGTTTACCCTTGAAAACGAAAAACTGATGTGTCCCAAATGGGTCTTTACATTCATGGTGATGATGAGTATTTGTTGGACACATCATGCACAAATAATTCTGCCTTTCTAGAAAACTGAGCTTTTTTATTAAAAGCTCTAGACTTATCTTTCATCTTCAGGATTCCAAAAGTATTGCATTGGACTACCTGTACTCTTGTGCTGAAACCACTCCTGTAGAGTACTTTTCTAACATCACCCTGAAACCCTTCGACTTTTTATTCCGAGTCTCCTCAATGTTCATTTCTGCCATTTACGTCATGGTAGCATTCAATTTAGTGATCATTTTAAGAAGCAGACTAGAATTGTAACAAGAGTATGTAAATTAAAAAAATCACAATTATATTCTTGTAACAAAGTTTAAGATTATCCTCTAAATCTGCCCCCAGTGATTGGTTAAAAATACAAATGGATAACAACACCTCTAGGTGCAAGCCAAAGAAATTTCACATTGGCAAGTTAATTCAGAGCATTATTGCCTTAAATTGAAGAGGACATAAAGATTAAGCAGCATCTTTTCCACCTCATCTAACTGTGCTGTTTCTCAGATTCATGCCAGATCACCCTCCCATCATATTTGCCTTTTTGACATGAGGCCACATCACATAAAAATGTCCCAAAATGTTGCACTTCAAAAGTTAAAATTTGAAAACCTCAAGATTTAAAATATTTTTTCCCTTGAGCATGATTTGAACTCTATGGGTGAGGCTTTGTTCCTGCTATATCAGATCATGTTGGGGTTCCAATTCAGAATTTTAAATTAGTTAGGGTGGGAGAAGGATGTGACTAAAGATAGAGAAGAGTGCTTTGGGCTTTGGAAATAAGTCAGGAATGAGAAGTAGACACCTATCTCATTGGATTGAGCAGAGAAGTTGAACTTTGCTTCTGTGTGCACTTATATTTGGAGTGAGCAAAGTGTGTCCCACAGGCCTCATGTATCCCCCAAGAGCCCCTCCAATACCCCACAACTCCAATGTTTACTTTTTTGTTGGTTAGGTTTTGGGGTGATTTTTGTTCCCCAAATCTTTAAAAATGCCTTTAAAGCATCAGTCCACTTCCCTAAACCCCTCCCCCCAAAACTTCAAACTAGATAATTAAAACAAAGAGGAAAAATTAGCCAAAATGACAGCCAGAAGTGGCATGCAATCACTTTGGGTGTGCTGAAATGCAGTGCTGCAGACTGAGTGGAAACAACAAGGGAGAAATTGCCACTCTCCTTTCTACAGTTGCCCACCCGATTTATTCCTTCCAGTCTCGTTCAGAGAGATCTCTCCCTCACCCATCCACCCACCCACCCATTTTCTGTAGGGTAAAATAGTATTCCAGGATCTTCTTTTCCTAAAGTAACTGCTGCATACAGTAGCGAATCAGATATTAAGTCATCATTCCATTTTTCAGCAGCAATTATGAAAGAATCTTTGGATGGAAGGGTTTCTCTTTGCTCACATATCGTTTTTCTTTTTCCTTTGGTGCATTTAAAAAGTATATAGTTGCATAAATAATGTAAGAAAAAAATAATCAGATTTCAACACTTTATAGCTATATATGGTTGTCCTTAGCGGTTTTATGTAGCCCATGTTGCTCACACATGTGTAACAGCAAAACCCACAGGGCAGACAGGAGACCTTGTGAACAGTCCAAAAGCTATTTTCGCCCCTTGGTATATGGCTGACATTACATGGGAGTAGTTATTTTTGTGTAGGAAAAAATGTACTGTCTGAAGAAGCATGTAGAGATAAAAGTACTGTGGTTTTATATTTCTTATTTAGTTGCCAGGATCCTGGGATTTCTGCACCAGAAAATAAATATTCCAGGTAGGATATTGATTAGAAATCTGTAGAAACTGCCAAAAATGTCTTCTGTATCTCACTGTGAAACCATTCAGATGAACAAGATTATAGCTGAGGCTTGTTTGAACTATGTTTTGCAATATGGTCTCTATAATAAAAAACTGTGTTTTGCTGCTGTAGGAAACAGATTGGAGTGTTAGGGTGATACCCAAATCCTATTTTAGGTTAGCAATAAAAGGCATTCCATTTGGGAGCAGAATTGGTTTGGCTAGACTTTTATACCTTGAGCAATATTTCTTCTTGCAAACTCAGGCTTATCAAATGAAACGGAGTGTCATCGCAACATCAATGTAGCAAATATTAAGTGTGCCCCCCCCCCCATTTTTTGGCAAGTTATGAAAGTTACCTTCTCTGGGAGTTTTGGTTACTTTCCTAAATGCACTAACATGATTTCATTCAAAAGGGCTTTAAATTAAGAGGCTTTTTAAATGCTGGGTCTGAATATGATGTGTTCATTTCTGAAAAATCTGCACAGTAATTCATAACAGGGTGTGTAGATAAGAAGCTTTTGAAAAATAAAATGTTTTTCTTTGAGTGAAATCATTAGTCTTCATGCTAATGGCTTTGGCAAGAATGTTTTTATCCCTTTGTGGAATAAGTTGTTAAAAACATGTTTCGGTTCTAAAACAGAATGCTATAAAAATCTTGGATCAACACATGTTGCCATGCGCTGGGTCAGAGTTATTTAGTTACAGATTTATGGGAACGCTGAGATGGGATTTTGTGCATGTGTGCATATACTGTTATAATAAAGAACCATTGCAAGTCCAAGCATAATTGGACTCATTTATGATATGTGTTCAGATGATGATGTGAACATGGGAGGAATAAGAAGTCATCAAGTTAGATAATTTTCTGAGAGAGGTTCCATTTACACCTCCCCCACACCACCTGTCTTCAATTTGGGAGGCAGTACCTCCTTGAATCAATGTTAAGAGTATACTAGAACAGGACTATCTAATCTTTTTCTGCTTGCAGCTATTTTCCACCTCAGAAATTTTTACATGACCCCAGTATGTATATTTATAAAATATGTATAAAAAACAAGCATTTACTGTTAATAAATCAGCATTTGCAAGGTTTGCTAAACAGGCTGGTTTTCCTTTTTGTAGAGTACAGCTGAAGCATTTTCTGCAGACAGATTAAACACTGCACATTGTTGCTAATGGATTTGGGTAAACCTTTTAATGTTAACAATGTTTCAGGACTCCAACAATGAGCAAAGGGAACCCCATTTGGGGACAGGGCCCACAGTTTAACAAGCAGTATACTAGAGCATAGTGATATATAGCCTCAATAATTGACTTTAGATTTGGGATCTAAGGAGCTAATATGTGCAAGTTTCCTGAAAGACAGCCCTGCCGCATATCGCTATAAAGTTATTTGGCTCTCAGGATCTCTGTAAATGATCTGGATCTAGGTTGGGCCAAAACCTAGAAAGCTGAAATGGTTTGAGAACATAATTCAGTTCTCCAGCTCCTCTCACATCTTCTGTTGAAACCCATCATTGGAATGGGGGCAGTGGCAAGATTAATTGAGTTGGCATTTGCAGAAACAACCTTGTTTATAAAAATTGAAGGTTTGGAGTTTCTCCATTCAGCCCTTCGTCCAATAACTAGGAGTTGTGTTGACTGACTCCCACTATTGAGATTTGGCTATTGGTATAAAGAGATTGGACTTGCCAAGGGTATTTAAGCTGATTGTGGTTGAAACCACAGACTGCTGAATTCAGAGAACAGGACATGTGGTGTTATGGTGCATACTGAAGCTAACCTGAGTGGGTTCATTCTTTTCTCTACAAAGATTGGAAGTGTATGCATGTTAATTGTGAATGATGGATCTATGAGAGGATCAAAAATGTTGCTTGCATTTGACATACATTAGGCGGACTAGACTAATGATAACAAAGTTTACTGTTCCGGTAAACTAGGATCTAATGAAGAAGGCTATAGAAGGAAAAGGAAAACTATGAAAAGCATTAAAAGTTATACTAGTGGAAGCACTTTCTGGTAAGGTGGGATTTGCAAAATACAACTTTGTGTTTACATGATTATCTCCAAGGCCAAATTTGCAGAGTCCTTCCTCCTAGATGACTTTCATAACTTTAAAGTGGCTAATGAAGACATTGAAAATATTTTCTGTACCTTGGATGAATTTTTAATCAAAATGGAGAATGCAATGAAAGATCTGAAGAAAAGGAGTACGAAGTGCAGTTATAAAGGAACTATATAAGATCTTCAGATGTAAAATACAGCATTAAATGTCAAAGTCAGAATCACCGACACCAATGTATTTTCTCCAGATTGCAGAAAGGTGGTTGTTTCATTCAACTGGTTCTCCTAAGGACCACTAGAAGAATGTCTGTTTTTTTCTTCTGAAGATGGCTACAGGATCACAGAACCTCCCATTTAGTCCCTCTGCTCACTGAATGTTTATGGGCGGGCACCCAGTCTCTAGGAATTCAAGATAACAGTTGGCAACAGATTCTTCCATCTACCAAGATCGAACAGGTATATATGCATGCATGATTTTCAGTTATGTCTGCCTATGTCACTAACAGTATGCAAAGCAATGTGCAACATTCAACAGCAGTCCATTTGATTTAATGCTCTGTGTTGTGGAACCACCAAGAAATGTCATGCTGTGGGCTGAATTTCAGATGAAGACAACAGCAAACCACCTTTGTGTATTTCTTAACTTAAAAGATACAATATAATTCAAGCAGTTTCCATAAGTTAACAGGCTACATGAAGACATTTACATAAACACATTATGATGAGTTTAAACACAATCATTCCAGAGTGCTAGAAAATGTCTGGTGCTGGGCTATGTTCTTACCAGGTGGAATACTTGGAATATGCTATCCTATCTACATTGCTGATATAAATTCCAGTCTACCCATGACTTGGAGTGAAATTGCTTTCAATTGCAACATAGTGAATTCAAGTTTTAGGTGTATCTTTTTGGTAGCACAGCTGAACCTACCATTCCATATTGCAAGTAACCAATTGGCAACCTGTAGCCACCATATAAATTGGCATTAGTTCTAAGGGGCTTGGTGGCTTTCTCCAAAATTATGGGTAATGTCTCCGAAGAGAACTGGATTTGAGAAAAAGAGTCATCTAAAAAGTAGCATCTTTCCCCCCTTCTCCCTTACTCAGTAGTTCATATATTGATGGCATTAACTTCACTGCAGGTAGGGGATACATGAAGGTGTGATGCTGTGAGAGGAAGAACAATAAATTAATAAATCCTGACACTGATGGTTTAGCTTCTCTAACAAAATAAATCCAAAGAACATAATAGGGGCAATATATCTTTATTTTTTTTAGTATTACATTATCTTCTTATAAAAAGGTGCAGATAAAAAGGATGCTACAGGTTTTGTACACTTAATTCATTTATAATTTTAAATTGACCAACAAATGAGGAGACACCAAAGCATTAGAGGAGCAAGACAGACTCCCCACCTCACCCCTTAAAGAGTTAGGTCTTTCTTAGATGCAGGCAGGGACATTCCCCAAGCTCCACATGCCAAGATTGCTTAAGGCAGATTAGTTATCTTTTAAATGGAGTGAGCACAGAGCTTCCACGTAGAAATGTGTAAAACGGCAAAAGCCAATATATGTTACTGATTTTGAGTATGAGATATTAGTTAAGCTGGAATAATTTAGCTTTAATAAAAATGTGGCCGTGTATATACACCTCACAAGAATGGTTCAGACATTATATTCCTTGCAGAATGATGTTTTGGATTACAGTTCCCAGAATCCCTCTTCCAGTGCTAGGGAGACTGTGGGACTTGTAACTCAAAAACATTTTCAAACTCTGGGAAAACAGAAAGTATAATTGCCCTGGAAATATCAGAGAGGCAGCCTTTATGGGCATGTTTGTTTGTTGTGTGGGGGGATAGCTGCCTTATCTGTTTAGCTCCTCTCTCTACCCCACACAACAAGGCACTGAGAAGTTTTGTGTGTGTGTGTGCACCAGCATGCTGGACTGGCTCCAACCCACACTTTGGACTTGATGTGCAGCAAATGGAGTTAACCACTATTGGTCTGCTGAATGGGATGGGGGAATAAAGCCCTTCTGAGTAGGATAGTGTGCCCCTTTTTTGAAATGTGGTCTCCTCCTAGTGTCATAAAAGTAAATGGAAATGTGCCCAGTGCTTGCCTAGTCTATCCCAAAGGTGCCAAGTTCAGCACTCGGCTTGCTCATAATGCCCTGGTGAAGTCTCAATAGTCACAGCTGCATGTACGCAGTGTATACACAAAATTAGCAATACACAAAAACTAGAATAAGGCAAAATAAATAGAGGTGTGGCATTTACAGTTTTTTCCCCTAAAACTTTCCTAAATCTGTTTACTTTTTTAATTATTAAATCATTTCTTTAAAAAAAAAAACAATGAAACAAACAGAATTGCATACATCATGTACATAACAGAACTGTACAACTCGGCTATTCCCTTCATGAAAACCCATGAATCAGCCCTTTTTCAGCTGCAATTGTGCTACAGCTTGGAAAGAAAAAAAAAAGGCCTGTCCAAAAGAAGATGCAGGGATGATGTAGAACCACACCTCTTGCCTACAAGAACCTCCTCTTGCCTTTGTTTTCTGCCTCCAACACTGAAACCATGACCGAAGTACTTTGAAAGAACATGCAAAATATTGCTTTCTTAAGCAGATATAGCACTGTTTCAGTTCAAGAAGGGACTGGTCTTTCTGCTCTTAAGCACTGTTAAGTAATGAGGCATCCAGAAACCTCAATCTGTGCCACAAACAGCTATAGCAGTTATCATTTTCCAATAATGCAAGAGTTCTATTACTTCCCCACTTTCAAATCCTACTTTGAGTTCCCAGTGCATGATATTACTTTGTATCTGGTCCTAGCAATATACACCTGTGATCCTTCCTCCTTTCCTGCAGGAATGAATGGCCATGGTTGAGAGCTTCACCACCTGTACTACAGGTTTGGGAACAGTGGCAAATGGCTCAGAGTAGTATAGTATAATTTTTGTACAACACTACACTGATTCATGCAGGATCGCAGTCCATGTGTGTCAGAAAGTAGAAACAGTTTTCAAGCACTAGCCTCATTCTGTGGTTGTTTTAGAAACATGGGCCAACAGCTGCCCCTGACATAAGAGAAGGTACTGCTAAGCTGTGCAATAGGCTGTTAATTTCTGTTGCCTATTCATTGCCTGAGAACTTTGTTGAGATGTGTTGTTTCAGGGAGAGAAATACACCCATAAACTGGCATTTACTCAATGGGTTCTCCCTTCTTACCACTGGCCCTTTTGAGAAGCCTATTTGGGCATATTTACCTCTTTGTGCTAGAAAAGCCAGCATAATGTAGTGGTTTGAATGTTGACCATGCATGGAAACCAAGGTTCAGTCAGGAAGGTTACCCTTTCTCCATAATCTCAGAAGAGGGCATGGGAAACTTTATCTGAAGAAAGCCTGCCAAGAAAACCCTAAGGTAGGGCTACCATAAGTCAAAGGCACATAAAAACAGTTCTCAAGTAGGACTTGCTAATTCTCAGATCAAATTCTGTAGAGGCAAAATTCCCTGCTTCCTTTCTTACCAAGGCATAAACCAGCATATAACATTACCGCTGCTATCTGCATGGAGGCAGAAGTGGCAGGTTAGTTCTCACTGAGTGCCTAATTCCATCACCGCCACCGCCATATGCAAAGAGAAGCAGCTTCCATACTTGGAAAAATGCATATGGCATGTTGCATCCTAGTACACATAAGAGTGCTGATGCTCTCCACAGTGAATTGAGAACTGGCATTTATAGCTGGAAATCAACAGCTATAGGTGTGGACAGGAATGTGAGACTGTACCCAAGATGCATAACCACATGGGCAATTCTGAAGAATCATATGATACAGCCTGCCTCCAGATTGGGGTCTCACATGTTCAACTGATATTGCAAATGTATATCTTAAAAATAAGCAAAACATGCCATAATGAGACCATTGTATAAAAGTAGTATCTAGACCAGTGGTTCTCAAGCTGTGGGTCCCCAGATGTTTTGGCCTTCAACTCCCAAAAATCCTAACAGCTGGTAAACTGGCTGGCATTTCTGGGAGTTGTAGGCCAAAACATCTGGGGACCCACAGGTTGAGAACCACTGATTTAGACATTGAAAGGGTTAATCTAGATAATGGCAATAAGGGGCAAGAGATTATTTGTTTATGATGTCTAGACATGAGCAAATCAACTGGTTTGAATGGTTTTCAATGAAGTAAGTTAAAAGGCAAAAATGACAATGAGAAAAGGGAAGCCACAAAGTCTGACTAAAGAGCTTCCAGTATGTGTCCATGAGGGAAATCATTTGGAATTAAACTGAGCCAAGACTGATTCACTAATTTTTATTTAACATTTTATTTTAGGACTTTTACTTTGTGCTTTGAATCTACAGACCTTCCCAAATTATCAACGTATGCTATTCTGACCTTTGAGAGCACAATCACTTTAAGAAATCTTTTGGGCAACTCAAAATGCTAGAACCAGTTTGAATGCACTCACTGGAGAGAAACAGGCCGCAGTCCTTATTCATATTTATTTGCAAGTAAACGCCATTGAGGTCAGTGCAATTTACTTTGCATAAAATGAGCAGCGTACCAGTATCATACTCTTTCTGACTTATAAAACTCAACTTCTATGCTTCTATGATCTCAAACAATCTGAAATAGATATTAGAAATCCTTACAAAAAGACTGGATCATTTTGTTAGTGTAGTTATATTTTATCATGCACATATGCTCAGTGCCTGGAAGTAATAAGTTACAAGTAATGTAGTCTGCAATGAGTTACCTTTTCACAATAAGGCTGCAATGAATGTGGAAGATTAAACTTTGAGAGTAACCTAATAAGGAACAGTGGATTCACTGTACTTATTTGTAAAGAGGGATTAGGACAGAAGGGTTTGAAATTGTTATGCCACTCTCATACCAAGTTAGAACTCATGTTTTAGTTTCTTGTGTCTTATTGGATTGTTTTGGTCTTATTTTTATTTTGATGCTTAATTCCTTTGTTATAAGTTTGCTGTTGTTATTACCAAGTATTATTTTGATGTGTTTACACTTATCTCGAGGCATTGAATGTTTGCCTTTTTTGTATGTAAACGGCCCTGAGTCCCTTTGGGGAGAGAGGGCGGTCTACAAATAAAGTTTTCTTATATTATTATTATAGAAAGGCTTTTGTCTTTTAAGAACTTTGACCAAGTAATAAAAAATTAACAGACAGTATGAAGTATGTTTTTCCTATTGTACCAAGTAATACCAACCAGCTACTTTGAAATTGCTGATGCATTAAATGGAATGAAACTAACTTTCCAGTCTATAGAACCTATAGTAAACTGATCTAAGATGCAACAGAATCACAAACTGAAATTAATTTTGAAACTAATACAATAGTGGATTAATTTCTACATTCTATTAAATGAATATGCCATAGAACAGTTCTCTAAAACTTGCAGAGATATACAGATTGCATCTTCAGACCTTCAATGTAGCTGTTATGATCCAGACAGCTATGCACATATGAAAAGCTATGCAATTAATTTACATTTTTTCATATGACTGGTAACAGAAATAAAAGTCTGTCCTATGCTACATAGCCAGAGTGGGAATATTTAATTAAGTAGTGGGCTGTAGCTATCAACAAGAACCAATAAGAATATGGACATCTAAAATGAGCAGAGAGGGCACCACAACAAGGAACTGACAATGCCCTAAACAACAGGTTACAGTATTAGCAAGAGAAATCAGCACAGTCACATATTAGGATATTTCATTTTTGGACAACCGCTTCCTGATTCTCCCAATCAGTTTAGCCATGGCTGGAAAATTCTGATAATTGTAGGGTTTGTTTACTAAATATAAAATCCTCAAGGTTTTCCCTTTTCCTGCATGTTGACCTCTGAGCTCAGCTTTATTACTCATAAGTACTCTCTTTCTGAAAAGTAAGCAAAAAGAAAAAAAGGAAAAGCAACCTTACAATACACAAGGCTCACACTACAAAATATTTGTTTGGGGTCTGCAATTTACACAAATGAGATTCACTTGTAGGAACATATTGCTTTGATCTCAATATGGCTTTTGCAGTACAATATATATGCATAATACTACATCTCAACTACAGAGAGCAGCAAGGAGCTGAAAACAGCATTTACATATTCTTCCTAAAAATCTATTTTACCAAGAGGGTATGGGACAAAATACCCTTAAAGGTATGAGTTTGTAAACGTAGAAATCAAAGTCCTTTTCTAAAAGCACCTGAGTTTATTTGCACCGGGTTGTTTTTGAGACACCAGAGACAAATGTGGACCAAAAGCAGCTCTCCGAAATGGATAGTAATGCACTGTGTTTAAATCAGAACTGCTGGGTTCTAGGATATCATGAACAGGAGAATTTAGAACTGGGACTCTCAAAATGCAGCATGTAAAATTATGATTTTTTTCTGTTTTGTTTTTTATCACCAGGCTTTTGGTCATTGGTCTGCCCAATGCCTGCCTCTACAATGTCATTTGAGCAAAAGATAGAGTTGACAGCACTCAAGTTAACAATGCTTTTTCTGCTCTAAAGGATCCTCTTTAAGATTGAAATTAATTAACTAGTGTTTTGGATCTAGAAAAGACAAGTTGAAATGAAAGTTCTTTTTGCAGAATTAGCATTTGATTTGTTGTTATTTTTGTCTTTCTACTTCAAGTCTGTGCCTCCTCCACTCTTTTCCCCTAATTTCATATCTGGAAAATAATGGCAAACTGTTAGTAGTTGAAGAAAAACATTTTTTGTACCACAGAGGCTTGCTGCTTCTTACCCATAAACATGGAGTAAAACAAGAAGACATTAATAGTCTTCTTTGAGTCCCCCTCGGGGTGAGAAAAGCGGTATAGAAATACTGTAAATAAATAGTCTCTGCTGTGTGTGTGTGTGTGTTTTTTAGCTGTGTGCATGTGATAGTTTAATTGTGTAACAGCAACTTATCTTTGGAGTGATCACCTGTGATTTCTAGAACTTTTTCCAAGACCTAAAAGTTTAGTACAACTTGGGGCCCCATATATAGCTTTCTCCATCACTTCTTTCTTGATGGAATAGTCCCTGACTGCCTTAGCTACCCTCCTGATGCATTGCCTTACTATAACTATTAGTAACTCTTGCAGTGCTTGTTTGGAATGGAGTAGGATGCCTTTAAAGAAGTGCATTCTGTTAAAATGTAATCTCCAGTTTATCTCAGTGGCTGCTAAAAAAATTAAAGCTGCTAACCAAACTGCATTTGCCTTTTTTAATGAAAACCCCCAGACAAAACCTATGCCACTCCCAGTAAATATTTTATTGTGCAGCTAATATTATGTGGACGTGGTGTGGGGTTATTCTTATCTCCCAACCTTTCCTTGCCATTGGTCTGGCTCAGCACAAATGTGTTCACCCTTATCAAGTAGTTCCCTCATTCATATTTTCTTTGGCACATCCCTGAAGACTCCCAACAATTCCTGGAAAAAATGAGTTCTTCCTTCCCTCAAGGAAAGCAGCTCTGTCTACTTTCTCTGACGTAACATCACTTGCTTTGCATATTACAGGCCACTAAACAACTGTTCTTGATTTTTTTAAAAACAACAACAACAATACATTTTCAGGGTTCCATCAATGGTGTCTTGTAAACTCAGTGGAAGAACACAACTGCAACACTGTAGAACCGCTCCTTCACTCATTCCTGAAGACTGAGCCAAATTGTAACGAAGGGGCAGCACGATGTTTCAGAACCAGCCTGAGACTATCTGGATTTCTTTTAGTGAGACAGAGAACTGTCTCTTTCTTTGAACACATTCACTTTGGCACAGAATTAGTCATGTTCTCCTCCCTCTTTCCATCTTGTGCGGAAGACCCAAAGATTTCTGTTCCACCATTAGGACCTAACTGGACTTGGTTGGAAAACATTGAGAAGGAAACCATTGGCCACAAGCAGTGTCTCAGAGAGAAATCTCTTGGGCTCTAAAGAGGCACTTTTTACAACCATTCCAGATTATGTATATATGGGAAAGAGCAGTCAACACAGCCACGGGCTAGACAAATTTCCTGCAGAGCAATACTAGCCATTTCCATCTTCTCATTTGACTTTTTGTTGTGGCCACAGTCCTTGTTTTGTCATCTTCTGTTAATTGTGCATCCTCCTCCTTCAGTAATTGAGCTTTGTCACTGCCCGTTCCCGGCTTGTCTCCAAATTTTGGTTCCCTGAACGTTTACGGCCGCGCTTGAGCTTTAAGTCCTTGTCAAAGACCTCTCCTGACCTCAGTGCTGACACAAGATCATCGAATTCTCCTCCGCCCTCCTCGGAGATGCTACCAGCCTTTGCTTTCTTTTGCCGCCGTTCCTTCTCTCTCTGCTCTTTAAGCTGTTGGGAAGTATACACATATGCATGGATTAAAACCAAGGTGCAACTGAGAAGGAAAAATGAATTGCTGAAAACATTGAACAGAGATAATCAAGCGTCATCTTACGATATTCTGCAAAACAAAATCTTTTCATAATTTCCCTCCCTACTTGTCCTCTTTGCCTTAAACAATAGGTTTATTTTTTGTTCTTCACCCATAGCGTTCCCCTTCTTCAGTTCCTAGTACAGCGTCCAGCTAACACTTCCTAATTTGGAACAAACAGGTCTTGGCTGCTTCCCAGTTCCAGATATGCTTGAAAATCAGTCTTACAAAATCTACAAAATTGTTCTTTATTCTTATGAAGTAAACAAGTTAAAGCCACATCCTGACATTTTGAAATGTAGACCATTGCGAGTGCATTCAATGTAAAAGAAGACCTGTGGAATTTCTCTGAAACAGATCTCTCTGCTTCCTCCACCCTCCTCACCCCATTTCGTTCAGATTTCAAGCTGATTCAAACAGGGGAGGGAAACTAAAAGAATAGTAACTCTTTTCTCAGCCAGGCTGAAGTTTACTGTAGCTGTTAGGGTTAAAACAGTGGCAACATGAAAGAGGCCAATGGAATGCCGAGGAGCTGTTCTCAGGCTTGGGAAAAGCACAAGGTTACAGAGAGAGGTTGGTTCACAGGAAGCCCTGGGGATCCAAGCATCAAAACTCCAGCTGGAGATTTAGGACAGGGAAGAAGCTGGGTCACAAGACTAAAAGAAACAGCTTCACATAGCCATACGATAGCTGACTGTAGCCATATTCCTTAAGATAGCAGTTAGAAAAAACTGTCCTTGGATTCATGACAGGTATCATTAACCTCTTCAAAGATAACAGTAAACTGGCTACTCCAGCCATGAAGATGGAGATCTGCAATGGTTTCTATGTAAAGGAAAAGCCGAATCATATATTTAAGTTTGTACTCTAAAAGGTAACAAAATTGTTAAAGTTGGTGCTGTTTGAATGATAAAAATGTGAAGCTGGAAGGTGTCCATTTTTAAAAAGGGGGAAGCATTCATGTTTGCAGTCTGGGAGAAAGTGGGTATTTGAAGAACTTAAGCTTCTGAATGGAAGAGTAGAAGGGTTGAATACTCACCATAGCTTCCATACGTGCCCTGCGCTCCTCTTCTTCTTTCTTCTTCCTCATATTCTCCAGATCTTGCTTGGCTTCTGTGAATGACTGCAAGAAGGCGTCAAAGATGCCAAAAAATTCATCTGGCTGCATCCGACCCTCATTCTCCCCAAAATGCTTCAGTGCCTTTGTGTACTGTTAAGGGAAGTAAATACGTAAGAATGAATGAATAACATTATAAGCAAGAAGGCAAGGCAGATAATATAGAAGGAGCACAATTATTTTGATGATTTCCCCACAAATATTATTAATATTGTCTCTTGCATTACGTTACCATCAATTATAAACACATTAATTGGAAGGATAAATTGCGGGATTATGCACAGATGGCCAAGATTTCTAGTAATCTGAAATGTGAAAGTCATGAAGTTTTTGAAAGTATCTGGAAGCTGGCCTTAGCATACCTGAGAGAAGAATTTAAGAAAAAAACAAGAGGAATTTATTGATCTAGCAGTACAGAGGGTTAAATAAAGTTATGCATAAACTCTGCATGGATCAGTGTTGGGAGCCAAGGTGGTGGGTCGCACTGAGGGTGGTCTGAGGGGGAATTGTATTGTGAGTGGTGGGTCATCTATGTATGTGTATACGTATATGTTCGTAATGTGTTTGTTGTTCATTTGTTCCTTTGTTTCTGACTCTTTGTGACCTCATGGACCAGCCCATGCCAGAGCTCCCTGTCGGCCATCACAACACCCAGTTCAAGGCCAATCCCATGACTTCAAGGATGCCATCCATCCATCTTGCTCTTAGTCAGCCCCTCTTCCTTTTTCCTTCTATTTTCCCCAGCATAATTGTCTTCTCTAATGTCTTAGTAATGTGTATTGTGGGTATATTACAATTTTAAAATAAAAATCTAAATATATATCTATAAACACATTAAACATTGAAAAAATGCAACACGGACATAAGCCTTAGTTTTCTTGCTGTTGTAATTGTGTGTCTTCAAATAATTTATTCCCTAAGGCAACCCTATTCTGGTATTTCCTTGGCAAGATTTATTCAAAGGGGATTTGCTATTACCCCCCCCCCCCCCGAGGCTGAGGAAGCCTGACTTGCCCAAGGTCACTCAGTGGGTTTCCATATTCAAGCAGGGATTCAGAGTTTCCAACGTTATAGACCAATGCTCAAACTACACCAGGCTGGCTGCCTTACGGCTGCCTTATTGCTGTCAGTGCAACTCTGGGTCAAAATCCTTCAGATCAAGGAAGTTTGTATGTCATTTCAGTTCTGTTTCTTGGAATTATTTCCTGAGTTTAGAGAGCTTTAGTTGAAACCATAAAACCAAGAGGCCAAGACTGAAATCTTTACTGATGAGGCCATCTTGAGTGCAGTGAAGAAATGTGACTACAATGGCAAAGAGGAAATTGTGTTCCAGTCGCTAGCTTATAACCCCAATAAATAAGCAAACTAAAATTGGTGGCTACATCATTTCCATGTATGCCAGAGATAAGAGAAATAGCCATCTCAAAAGTAGTTTGAGATACTTTATTCTGTATTTTATCACATAATAGTCACTACCACATAATAGTTACACACCCATTTTTGGGGTGCCAAAAATTGTATTTTTGTTTCTTCACACCCCATTTGAGGGTGATTCTCCTTTCCTTCCTTCTTTCTCCAAAAGCAAGGCAGTTTTAAAACTACAAAATGGAGGTCTCTGAAGCTACATTCTTCTCTCCTTTCTCCTTTCTCCAAGGCAAAGCAGTTTAATAAACCTGAAGTGGAGGTCTCTGCAACTCAGATCTTCCCTCCTTCCTCCAAAGAACTCCATTCTAGGTTTTTTATAAACTGCCTTGCCAAGGAGGGAGGAGAGAAGAGTAAGCTCCATAATCTCAATTGTATAGTTTTTGAACTGCCTTGATGATGTAGAAAGAAGGAAAAAAAATGGAAAATCAGCCTCAAATGGATCTACAGTTTAAAACAAGCAAATGGAAACAGAGCTGTTTGTTTGAGGGTTGTTCATCCCTCCTCTTCCCTTTTTGGAGATAAGGCACTTTAGTTTTTTAAAAACAACGTAATAGTCACACCCCTGTTTTTTTTATTAAAAGGGGGGTCGTATGACTATTATGTGATGAAATATGATAGACTTCAACAATGATCAGAAAGATGACCCTCATGTTAGCAACGTATGAGACCTCAGCAGTTTTATTCCCCCTTCCCCGGCCCCCAGGCTGTTTGCAAAAATTATAATGATTCCTGATTTAAGAACAGATCATGTGTGTGATGGCTTATAGGGAAAAGGAAGTACTCCCACAATGATGAGAGAAATGAAATGTTGGAAACTGATGTAATTTAAGAAGGAGAAAATGATGGTTGAAAAAAGCCAACTTGCAGGCATCACTCAGAAAAACACCTAGTCTAGAGTTGGTGAAAGCAAAGAAGTTATTTCTTTTTCTCATCAGACCCTAAACATGCTGGAATAGGACATCAATCAACAATAGAATACTTTAGTCAGTTTTGATCCATGTAAGGAATGAAACTTAGGTAGAATAAGAATGGAAATCTATTTTTGTTCATTTTATGGCATTTAATGACTTGCACATTCTGCCCCAAAAGGCACTCAAAGCAGCCTACAAAATAGGATAAAAACCATAAAGCACCAGGAGTAAAACAGCAAAAAGCAACTGCATAAATGCTAGACACTAACTGTAGCCCAGGACAGTGAAACTCCCAAAGTAACCATGACCTGCTGCTTATCATTGCTTGGGCAAGACATATTTCCTTTGAATTCAATTGTAATAACACCATGACTTTTAAAAAACCCTTTGGACAGCAATGATGCTTCAGACCTTGAAACCTTGTTCCTTACAACAAAGGTTCAAACACTGGTAGCCAAGTAAAAAACAGTCAATGAGCAAATAATATAGATATTAGGGCGACTGAAAAGTTAATTCATGAAGATAATAATGTTGTAGATTAGACACCAGTAGTATTTTTGGCTGGATCTTGACATGACCCTTATCATCACAGCCCCTGGTGGCGCAGTTGGTTAAACCCCTGTGTCGGCAGGACTGAAGTCGCAGGTTCAAATCCGGGGAGAGCGCGGATGAGCTCCCTCTATCATCTCCAGCTCTCCATGCGGGGACATGAGAGAAGCCTCCCACAAGGGTGGTAAAACATCAAAAACACCCGGATGTCCCCTGAACAACGTCCTTGCAGATGGCCAATTTTCTCACACTAGAAGCAACTTGCAGTTTCTCAAGTCACTCCTGACACGACAAAAAAATAATAATCACAGCTTCTTGTTCTTCTCAGTTCAACTACCTCCCTCTCAGTTTCAGCTTTGCCACTGTCTCCTCAAGGTGAGGTCAGCAACTTACTGCAATAAAAAGGGCTGGCCAGAGAGCTACACACATGAATGACTACTACAGAGCTTGGGGAAACTATTTTCTTGGACTTCAACTCAGCAGATATCCAAGTCAGCATAGAAGTTGTAGCTTCAGAAAAAGTAAAACTCCAGTAAAACTATTGTCAAAAGTTCATCTTGATTAGAAAGTTCATTACTGCATTCCAGTGTATTTCTTCATTTACAACTTTATTTTTAAAACTTACTATTTATTTTGACAATTGTGTTAATTATTTCCTTTTTCTAAGGTTTTCTCTTTTATAACAATTCAAATTCTGGATTTTGGTTCCAATATGTAAAGCGCACGAGCATCATGTGATAAATCTCAACAGAGTTTTGTATTAGTAGCAGCTTGGGTAATGAAAATGATCAAACATCATGTGATACATCACCACCATCACCACCTCAATGGACCTCATTGTTCAGTGAGAAAAACTCTTCCAGCATATTTTGTGACTAGCTGGCTATTAACCTTGCACATCTGTGTGCCTCACAAACGAAGCCTGTATTTATGCTCCTGGCTTCTCACATCTTCTTTACTCAAAGTTCTAGATTTAACAAGACATGACACTAATTTTATTTGAGTTTGTGAGCTATACAGCCCAAGGGAAAAATAGTAACTGCTTCCACAGCTTCATTGAGTTCCTTGTCTCCTTTTCTCATTTGTCCAGTCTTGACATACAGAGAAAGGTTATGTTAGCGTGATAATGCCTGCAGCTCTAAACAATGCAAAGCTTCATACAACAGAAGCCATGAGCAATGATAATGTAGGGACATGACACCTCTACTAAATACCATCATGACTAGACATTGCTATTCTTGAAAGCTGGATAATGTTGGGAAAATTATGTAGGGAGAAGGAGACTATCTCTCCATAACTGGGTAGAGACCAATGTCACTCAGGTTTTGATCCTTGTATCTCAGAACAGACTTCATCTGTACTAATTCCTTTTCATGCAGGCAGAGGAAACCTTCCTCTCCAATGATACTAGAACCCCAATTCAAGTTTCTTCTTCATTTTCTCATACAGTTTGGGTTTGTTTGCTTCCTTTTGCCAGTTACTAATATATTCATGTTGCAGTTCCATTGGGGAAAAGGCTCCTGCATGGGTTTTTGCTTTAAGTGCATATACATACTAGTTATGAACATCTGTGACAGCTCATATTAGATATAGTTCTGTTAGTTATAAACATCTGTAACAGTTTGGATTTTGACCTTTATTTGACATATTTGATGCTTTCCTGGTAAACAACAGAGTGGGGAATTCTTTCCCATTTATATTCCAGCACATCTTCAAGAAAATCTATGATATTAGGATTTATACTGGCAGGTCTAGGTTTGGTGACAATCCATCTGGCACTTCCTTGAATCTAAAGATCTCTTTTCCATGTTCATTGACTCCAGCCAGCTAATACAGTTCCTCTGCACTTTGGTTGTATTTTCTGAAATCTCTGCTTGCTGTAACCATGTCTTCCTCCTTGACTGACTGCTTGTTTCACTCCAACTATATCAACAAAGGCCCTTTTCTTACTATGTAGATTTTTTTTTTGCCTGACTTGGCTATCACACCCTGCCCCACTGACTTAAAGAGCAGCACTGCAATATAGAATACATTCCTCTTTCAGCTTTGTAATACAGGAGTGGTAAATCTATTTTTGTTAAAATAAATAATTTCCCCCAAGTAATCACTCTTTCATCTTATGACATAATAGCCCTGCACAGTTTAGTGCCAACACCCCTCCTACTACCAAACTTTCCACTAATTCCCCCTTCAGCCAAAGCAAATAGC